CTGCTTTTAACACAAACACAGAGCATGTCAGGTTTAGTTTCTCCTCTGTTTTAAAGGCAGACGTGTGTTTTCTGAACACATTTTAGATAGGAAATGGAGTGGTGCAGGAATGACTCCTATACCCTGAGATGAGTTAGCATCTTAGCACTTCCGTAGTAGGCCTACCTATATGTTTAATTAGCTTTTGGTTAGATGCCTGAAATAAGGCCTATGGTTAACGCTTAAAAGATTTTCACGTTCAACTAATGTGAGTAAATACTCCACTGGTGAATGTCTGAATCTTTAACTTGTCGTAAAAAAGGGGTTTGCTCTTAGTGTTTAAATGAGAAAACTAAACGTCATCACTCCCAACATTAGCCGCCTTTAGCTTAGCGGTGTAACTTGAAGTTTGTTTGTAGCCCAACGTTAGTTATTTTCTTCTGGCGATTGCATTTACGCTTCAACTATTAAAAAAGTGGTTTTAATATGTGGAAATTATCTTAACAAAACGTGTAAGTATCATTAAGAAAATCTGACTGCTTTTTGTATAGGGTCCCTTATGATGCTAACTGTTGGGTTGGCCTAAAAAAATACATCATCACTGCTTGAGTCTATTTATTTGATATGTTTAAGTCTGGACAAAGTAATGGATCAAACAACAGAGTGTAATCGCCGTCTTAGAAAACTTGTAAATACCTGAAGTATACTCTATCTCCATTGTTGTTTGTGACTAGTGTAAATCTCAAAAATATTATTTGTTTCTATATTTCTTCTGCTTTGCAATTTACATGTGGAAATTTGGGCTTTGACTTGTTTTCCATTCTGTTTAATAATGACAACATTTAAACTTGCCGCACCCCTGATTCATTGAACTAATGCCTAAAGGTATAGACTGTAGGCCCTTTTAAGAGGAAGTTTAAGGCTGTCATTATGTTCACATAGAGGGCAATTGTGTCATTATTTCGCAAGTCAAGAGTAAGTCAGCGGACTCTTGCCCTTTTGACCTAATTTTACATTTGTTTTGAAATGTCAATAGCAACAGAGCATACTATACAGTAGCAGAATATCAATACAAGTTTTTACATTATTGTTTGCGTAGATTATTTAATATTTATTATTTACTTTATGGTAGGGGGTATAGTCTTTTATATGAAAAGCAACAACATTGTCTTCAACTGAATATTTAACAATAGATGGGCATGTAACCCTTTTAAAATAAAGAGAACAATTATCGAGCACTCTAGTTGACTCCGGGCAAACAAATGTTTTACTGTCATATATCGATTAACCATTATTAAACATGTTTCCATACAATAAGGCTATACCAACAACACACTGTCATTCAAAATTGCTCTTCTTTTTAACATACTAAATATATATACAATCATTGTCAAATTCAATGCTAATTACCTTCAAATGGTCCTACAAATGTAAAACATTTCTACTTTCTTTTGAAAATACAGCTGCGCCCCACCAAGGTTCCTCTATTATTTTTTTTGGCTAATTTAAAAGGACTTTCACACATTGGAGAAAGCAACAGAGAAAGTGAAATAGGTGAGCATGTAATCCCTTCATCGAGTAACCATGCTGCCCTCTGGTGGTTACAGCAAAAAGATCACTTTACATTATGACATTACAAAGATATAGTTTTAGCATGTCTCAAAGCTACTGTGCAGTGAATTGAAAGTTAAGCAACACAAAACATCCAGACTTGTGTTTTTCTTCCCTTTCCCTTATAAAATAAGAACAGTAAAAGGAGAGATGTTTGGCTACAGGCCGTCCAAAGCGAGGACTATCAATGTTAACAGGGAAAAACGTCATCATGGTTATATTATAATGATGCTAGACTAACGGCAATCGTTGTGGTGTGAAATCCTCATCTCTCTCATCATCTGAGAGGTCAAAATCTTAATCTGGTACAGAAAATGTCTGCTTCAGTTCCGTCTCCTGCAACAATATTGAGTCATTAAGTCCATGAAGATGGTCCTGACGTCCACTAGAATGGACATTTATAAAAGAGCTGTTATTTGAAAACTTGAATTATTGAATTGCTTTCAGAACTAATGATATAGTTCCTCACATGTTAATAAACAATAATATATATGATTTTCATGGTAAAAATTACAATTATTCAACAATATTTGACTTCTCCTCCTGCTTCTATAAAATGTTGTTTTTGGTATGCCAGCCATTTTGGATGAAAAGAAAGAGGAACTTCCCAGCATGCAATTTTAACCAATGACATATCACTGGAAAGACCAGGATGTCCTCTGTACAGTACATCAGAGATTGATAGAGTAGCTCAAAAGAGTAGAAGGAGATGCATGTTAACAAAATGTCCACTACAGTGGACATTTTCAATGGGCTGGGTCCCAGGAGGAATATAGCTAATGCCGATCATATATCTGCAATGACATTGTGTAAATGTCTTCCTGACTGACTGTCATATTTAAGCTCTATAGGGTTAATTGCCCTAATGTGGGACATTTTTTGCATTTCAGACTTCTGGAATATATTGCGATATGAAGCCAATAGAATAAATCAACACCCAGTACCATTCTGAAATCCCCAGGTGTCCTAATCACACCAAAAGAGAAAATGCAGATATTACACTCGTAAAATAAATGGTAGACATATCAGTATTCTCTTAGTGCCAAGTTGTCTCAGACAATCTGCTTTTCCTAATGTGGGGAGAGTTCTGTGCAAAATGACATTTTGAAAAGCCTCAGTCACCTTAATTCATGAATAAAAACACTCAAAGCTCAATGTGCAATACGATGTTCAGCTATTTTACTATTTATAATGTTATTGTTGTTACAACATTTAGGCTTATAGGTGTGGATGTTACATGGAGAATCAAACATCATCAAACAATAGATTCTAATAGTTTTCAAAAATCATTGAATTGTATTTTACAGGGAACACATACAACTGCAGGTGTATTTGAAGGCAACATATCAAACATTGAGGCAACACATAAAACCTAAACCTGCATACAAAAATTGCTTATAACATGCTGCTGTTAATTACAAAGTTAAAATGTTATTCAAATCTAAAATCATTACAATTTATTTAACAGGGAACACATACACCTTTAACATGTATATTTGAAGACAACACAACACACACAAACATGAACCTGCCTAAAACAATTGCTTACAACATTACATGTCTGGAAACAAGCAGTCCTAGCATGTCAAGGAGCCATCATCGTCCATAACCCCATTATCCTCTGCACAGCTTTCATGGAACCACTGGACACAGACTGCACACGAAACTTGGGGTTCTTTCTGTCCCCATATGAATGCTGGCAGATTGCACACGCTTCTTGGATCACTTAGTTTTTTGCTTTTTCTCCTTTTTCTTTCCCCCTTTCTCTTTGATGAAAGCAAAATGGCTGTCGCTCGTCAAACTATATGAGGTTTGGCCCTCTGGCGGCTGGTGGTTGGGCGTTCTCTTACTGCAAGTGTAATCAGAGATTTGAAGGAGACCTCTGGCTGTGTCACTACTTCAACCTCCTCTGCCATAGGTGGTGGGGTTACAATGGGGGACAATGGTGGAGAGCGCTGAGGGGGGGAGATTGCTGGCTGAACAGCATCATGCAGAGGGTGGCATGGGGTCTGCTCCAGAAGTTCCCACATATGGCTGGCAGGAATCATCATCATCATCATCATCATCATCATCATCATCATGTGGAGGATGACACAGGGTTGCTGGTGCAGGAAAGAGCATCTCATCTGGGGCCACTGGAGTCTCTTGAATGCATCTCTCAGATGTTTGAGATGGAATGAACAGATTCTCATTGATCTTGGCAGGGTTGAATGGGTATATCCCTGACCCTCGAAAGCCAGCCTGGCCATTCAGTGGTGTAGCAGCTTTCATCCAGGCCTTTGAAAACATTGGCATGAACAATGCCCTGTCAAGCCGTTTCTCTCCACTCTCCCTGTGTGTGTGTGTGTGTGTGTGTGTGTGTGTGTGTGTGTGTGTGTGTGTGTGTGTGTGTGTGTGTGTGTGTGTGTGTGTGTGTGTGTGTGTGTGTGTGTGTGTGTGTGTGTGCGTGTGCGTGCTTGAAGGAGGCTTCATGAGTTGTTTAGTATACTTAGCAAGCGTAAACAGCAGTTTGTCATCATCACACACTCACACACAGACTTCACACAAACTTATTTCATGCCTGAATGTTAATTGATTTTTTAATTGTTCTCATCAGATAATAAAGTACATACTTAATCTTTGCTGCCCTCTACTAAAGAGTAATTGTGTCTGCTCAGTGAATACTGATCATAGATCTCATGGGTATAGTGCCATGTGATTCAATTTGTAATGTTTCACTCATATATACAATATATGAACTCACCAATTCAGTGTCAATGGGCCATTTCCCCAAAATGAATTAATTCAGCGTTTGATATAAAATCTAGATCCTCATAGAGTTGTACCTGATATTTTCTTCATAACAGACAGAAAAATATTGTATTTTGTAAATAAAAGGGTTGAAGGATAGGCTACCTAAATATTTTACCTAAGTAAAAGTAGCAACACTACAGTACAATATACTTAGTGACTAGAAAAAGTCCTTAATTCCTTAAATAAAAATACAAAAGTATATAAGTATCAAAATATACTTAAACTACTCATTATGTATGGGACATTTCAGAATCATATCTAATGATTGCATTACCATTGATGTATTCGTGTGTTAATCACGTCAATGTTCCTCTTAAGGTATGGTTTATTTTGTATAATCAAAATCTAAAAAGTAGCTTGTCCCAATTGCTAATACATTTAGAGGGGTTGAAGAGTACAACATTGACGACACAAACTGACTCTCCCTGTGGGGGCGTGTATGTGCGTTCGTCTAGTTTTCTTATTTCCGACATCACTCAAACGCACCACGACTGTAAGCATTCATGACGACGGAGGAAGTGAATGTATCAGCTAACTAGCATTTTGCTCTGAACGACAGCCAAGTTACATAACTTACACGCAGTGAGCAAGGTAATGTTTAAGATTTATGGTTTGACAATATTTCCGTCCATTTCGGGTCCTTCCTGGTGGTCAAAGCCGCGGCCTGTCTCCAACATTAGTAGTTAAGTAAGGTTAAAGCGACACCTGCTGTCGCAGTTAGCATAGCTGATGCTAATTCAGGCACTGCCAATCAATGTTACCGAACGTTACTCAACGGTTAGCTGCTAGCTATGATGTGATTTAAAAGGTATTCCGAGCTTGGTGAGAGGTTATAACCGAAGATAATGTGATGATAAAGATTTCCATGTCTCTTGTAATGCCTATACCACATTTATTTTTTGTGTAATATTGACTTGGTTAATAACTTACTATAATTTTTATATTCAGGACCAACTAACAGATGACGTAATATGATGTAAGATTAGTTGACTACGCAGCAACAAGTCAATTACTTAAAATGTGCTTCATTTTCTAAAGATGCATTTAAGATTAAAAAAAAAGTCCTGTTATTTTACTACTATTCTTTGTGTGCACTGAATTGTAAATATGTAACATACCTTGACAGAAAGTTAGTTGTATTGTCTCATGCTTGAATGGCAGCACTCATACTGTTAGCTTTTTATCTTTCTCAGAGACAGTTTCTTTAAGGAGCCATATGGATTCTCCTCGGCAACCGAAGAACCAGAATCGAGAGCCAAAGCGCACCCAGAATCACTCGAGCACTCCTCCACAGAAAGATGCCTACGCCAGGCTTCTCGGCCAGCACAGCAGCAGCAAGTTCAGCCAGTATCTAGAGCAATGTGCAAAGGACACAGTCTTTCAAAGGGAAGGAAATGGGCAGAGCACACAGCTCAAAGCCCAGAGTGACCGACAGAACATACCCCAGCGGAAAAGGGACCAAGTGCCCAACGATTTCTCCGATTCAAGTGACTTCTCCCCCTCTTCCATGAAAAGTAAAGGAGAGGAGAGTTCACTGTCTTTGTACATGGAAAAACTAAGCACCCGCAGTGCTCAGCAGGACTCTGAGAGGAAGCAGGGTGTGTCTGACAGACAGCGGTGGGGACAGAGAAGAGACACCGCCACCAGCCAAGATGGGGACGTTGAGTCTGGGGAGGAACTTGGTTCTTTACAACCCAATGACATGAAGAAAAACCAGAAGCAGCAGAAGAAAAACAAGGACTCTCACAGAGACGTCACCTCCAAAGAGACTGAGTCGTCTGTTGCATGTCCCCAGTCCCCAAATAAAGCCAGTACAGGTGAACTTGAGCTAGAGAAGACGAAGAAGGCAAAGAAAAAAACCAATACAAGGCACCCAGAAGAGGAGAAAAGCGCAGAGGGGGCATTAACGTCTGGGGTTGACAGTCAAGTGACCAGGCCCAAGTCTCCTCATGGTAGAGACAAAAAAGTGCAGCAAGGTAAATTATAGGTTAGATTTTTCATCTCAATAATAGTGAATTTTGATACACTGGTTCATCATGGAATCAATTGTTTTTCAGGGACAGGTGCCAATTCTCCTGCTGACAGGAGTAAGAACAGGGGAGGCAGAGGATCAAGGAAACAGGTCTTTGAATCCTACATGACATTTGAAGAGGTTTCCCATGGCCTTAAAAGAGAGGAACTCCTTCAGGTACAAACCCAGAGTTACAGTACTATTCCTAATACTTTGAAAACCTTCATTGAGTATGGATGACTTTTACTCAATGGTCAAACTACTCACAGTAATCTGGTGGATTTATTCCTAAATTCTCCATGTTTTCTCTGCAGGGGCCGATAAGAATCAACCCAAAGAAGTTCCACGAAGCTTTCATCCCATCTCCTGTAAGTTCATCCCAGATTGAATTTGACACATAATGTTTTGCTACCTCAACTAAAAGTACCTATAAAAGCACTGTATAGTTTTACTACTGTATAAATCACAAAATGTCAGGAGACGAGTAATCACCTTTTTTTTTGTTTTTGTGGCAGGATGAGAAACGGGATATATTCCTGGATGGGATCGTATCTCGCAACAGAGCTCTGAATGGAGACGTGGTGGTGGTGCAACTCCTTCCTCGGGAGCAGTGGAAGGTAGACTACACTTACCCGTCTATGGATACTTTTGGTGTGAAGGTGCCATGTCTTAAATATTGGCATTTTAAAAGTTTGATTATTATTTTAGGCTCGATGTTAACTCGGCAGGACATCAAAATAAATGTTTCCTTACAACTTTTCCTTGACCCCATTAGAAAACCTAACAATGTTAAAGCCCCTGTCACACTGTCCCGAAATTGACACCAGATGGACACACGATCAAGGAAATGTTCAAATTCGGCTCTGATCGTAGCAACATCGGGCCATTCGTGAGGGCATCTTAAGCCATCGTATGACCGCCGGTGAAGTTTCTCAGGCTCCGGCAGCAACTTCGTGAGCGGTGGCAAAAATGTTTGGCATGCCAAAAAATTGCCAAAGGACCTTGCGAAGGTTCATTTTCGTGTTGAATTCGTATGTCCATTTTGCCCTTCGTAAGGCACTCGTGAGGGCATCTTGTCAAATCGTGTCATCTTCGTGTGACCATCGGTGCCATCGGGCATTTTTCGCCTCACGAAGACAATATGAAGGAAACAAGAAGCTGCCCGATTGTCTTAGGAAGGCAACACGACTACGTGAAGCCCTCGCAATGCCGTCGTGTAGCCATCGTATTATAGTATGATGACATCGAGATTGCATTTATTGCATAACAAAATCACATATTATGTAAATAACCCATTTTGTGTTCAGGGAATCGATAAGAACCGGAATCGATAAGCAGAACCGGAATCGGAATCGATAGATTTCAAACGATACCCATCCCTAGTTTAAATGTTAGCACCCCCCGAAGAGGCACAAGCTCTTACGTTGAGTCTGGATACATTCTAAATCATCAGTAAAGTCTACGACCATATTTTCGTGTGTGGTTCGGGTGCCATCGTGTGGTCTGTAGGCATCGTACTTGCTTCGGCTGTTGCTTGGCTGTTGACCAAGTTCAGGGCCATCTTTGTGCGAAATTCACAATTCCATATTCGTGTGTCCATCTGGTGTCAATTTCAGGACAGTGTGACAGGACCTTAACTAATGTGTGAAGGAGAATTTATAAGAATAGAATCCCACTGCTCTTTCACTATGCTACCAACATTGTTTTAAGCAACTTTATAACAAATTGAAAATATTACAGTGACATACTCAATGGATTTAAATCCAAGTAGAGATACACACTAAAATTATTGTGATTTTTTCACATTATCCATGATAAACAATTAGACTGCGACAATATTTGTTATTTCTGTTAATACGTTGTGTTGCCCTCAATTCTGCTGCTGCAGAGAATTGTAGGACAGCATCCTCTCTTTTCCTTTGTCATAGGATGTTGTAATGTACCCTATGTCAAAGGAAATAGGGCTAACTTTCCATAGCATTTAGCACAACACCACCACCCACCTTTTCATGGCTGCCACCTAAATACTTCTGGGTCAATTTACTCACTTAGAAACACTTTCTAAGTGAAAAATACTTTTCTACCGCAGCCCATTTTTGAGTGTCACCAAATGATTATGAATGTATGTATCTATCTAGGTTGTAAGGTCAGATACTGACTGTGATGGTGCCAGTGAGTCAGACACCCAGAAAGATAACGTGGTTCAAAGAGCACAGAAGAAGACGGAGCGTAAACCCAGGCCCAATGTGAATGTGGAAGACCGGTGTAGCGACCAGGATGAACTCATCCGCAAAGTGGAACCTCTGGAAGAACCCACAACCCCACGGCCCAATGGGGAAATACTCCAAAAAACTGCTAAAGTGAGCATCCCGCCATTCAGTTCAACACTTTCTCATACAAAATTAACCAACTCTTCTTTTTCCCAAAAGAAGCAATAGCAGGGGCTTGTTCTAAAGTTCTGTTTGAGTTGATTGTACAGTATGTGCTAGAAGATGAATATCTATTTAAACTCCACTGAAGGAAATATCATTAACATATGAAAACTGCTGATGTTAAAACAATCATTGAAGTGATAGTAACTATTTGACTAATTGCAGATGTATTACTGTTGTAAACCAGCCAAGTTATGCTATAGTTAATCTTGCTATTTCAAAACAAAAGTTAGACCTTACTTTGAAAATAAACGTATTGTATCTGCGATACCTTAAGATCGTAACGTTTCTGCTTTTTACGCTTGGCCTTCATGAACCAGTTACTCTTTTTCTCAGGATACAGTTTTTGTTTTTATAACATGTCTATTTATTTGTATTTATTAATTATTATTATGTCATCTTTCTTTACTAAGTTATCCTTTGATTTATTATAGTTATCATTACCATTATTTGTATGTATTATTAGTATTAACTGTATTCACTTTAATTCGATTAATGTCTATTGATGTTTTTTGTATTTGGATATCCATCTCAGAATTGTTGTCATGGAATACTAATATAGTATTTTTAGAATAGTTAAAATAAAACACTGAAGCCTTAGATTTCAAACACTATGCCTCCCCTATCAATCGTCCTCCAGGTGGTTTACATTGTTGAGAAGAAACACTCGAGGGCGGTGACGGGCTTCCTGAAGTTCCTACCAGATAAGCCTTTTGCCATGTTCTCCCCCGTGGACCACCGGGTGCCACGGATAAACGTTCCCCTCGCTGAATGTCCCGAAAACTTTACTTCCCGCCCGGGCGACTACACCAACACCTTGTTCATATGCCGGATCATCGACTGGCCGGCAGACAGCAACTTTGCAGAAGGGTGAGTCATGAATTCCAAAAACTTTATGTGGGCAACGATTTTAACAGAATAGCCACCAGCCTGACGCTCCTAATGTGTCCTCCAGTCAACTTGCTAAGACCCTGGGTCAGGCAGGAGAAATCGAGCCGGAGACGGAGGGCATCCTGATTGAGTACGAGGTGGATTTTACTGAGTTCTCAACTGAGGTGTTGGACTGCCTGCCGAAGAACCTGCCCTGGACCATCCCACCAGAGGAGATGAGCAAGAGAAAAGACTTAAGGTAAGGACTGTTGATCATGTATTTTTTATTTTGACTGATTATGGGATAAGATTCACAATATTAGAGGAAATCCTCTTCAGAATACCTTTAGTATGCCGAGACTTCTCTGCAGCGACACAATATATCTTTCAGCACTCAGATATTTTCACATATTTTGCAATTACCAAAAAGTGCCCTTACTGCAATTTTTTTAATATTGCACATTCCATATTGTGATTTGGATAAAACACCAATGAATTGTGCAGCCCTAGTGGGAACATGCCAGCCGAAGCACATCCAGCTTTGCACACAAGTAGCATTGTGTTTTCTAACACATGACTGCTGTTGTTGCTAATAACTGGGTTACTGTCTGAGAATTTCAACGACAGAAAACAAGTATTTTAAAGGCATAGACACTAAATACAGACAGGACAAATCTTGAGACAACGGAGCTGTTGCATTAATTTAAGTCTCCTGGATCTTGGTCTAAAAGTCATGTTAAAAACATCTCAAAGTATAGAGCCAACTAGCAAGCATATTCTGCGCTTGAATGAGAGGAAAGGGTTTTTTTTAACAGCAGGCTTTGGTGGGCTGTATTGCCATTCATAAAGGAAAACCCGAAGACTGTGAATATAATGTCTTTGTTGTTAAAAATTCTGAGATATAGTTGAAAGCAAGAAGTTCCTCTGTGTACTCCCTCTTGACTTGAGACGTTTTTTGGATTTCTGGAAGTCTGTTTTAGCTGAACATCCAATCAGAGGGAATATTTTCTTCTTGAGCGAAAAATGCATATGATGCAGAACTGCCTGCAAAAACTAGATCCTCTTTGACCTCGCCAACATTGTCCGACGGCCGATGATATGCTTAGTGTGTCTGGGCCTTAAGACGTAATTGATATGACTTTACTTCTATGACTCACAAAGCCCTTTTTGATCATACAGGAAGGAGTGTATTTTCACCATCGACCCTGCTACCGCCAGAGACCTGGACGATGCTCTCTCCTGTAAACTACTCCCTGATGGTAAATCACCTTGATCAGGCAACATGTACAATTTCATTTTTTCGGGAAGTGGTGTCATAAACTCTATTTGTATCCAAGGTAACTTTGAGTTGGGAGTCCACATCGCTGACGTGAGTTACTTTGTGGGTGAGGACAACGCTCTGGATTCTATCGCCAGCCGAAGAGCAACTAGTGTGTACATGGTTCAAAAGGTGAGTGTTTCTTGGCTCTTCAATCAATCTCAGTCACTTTTTCTCAGTGGTAGTTTAATAAACAAACCCTTTAGACTTCACTCAATGAGTTTGGTCTCTCTCCAGGTGATCCCCATGTTGCCCAGGCTGCTGTGTGAGGAGCTGTGCAGTCTCAATCCTCTCATTGACAGGCTCACTTTCTCCGTCATTTGGAAAATCACACCGGAGGGGAAGGTAAGACTATTTCTGACCAAACAATAGAAAGTTAATTTATTAGGTAAAGATGATTTTAAAAAATACGTCTCACCGATTTTGATTAAGCTAACGGCATTTACTCTGGGTGTTTGTCTGTTTAATGACATTGGTCCGCCACCCCTCCTCCAGATCCTGAGCGAGTGGTTTGGCCGCTCTGTCATCCGCTCCTGCGTGAAGCTAAGCTACGACCACGCTCAGAGCATGATCGACGCCCCCGACAAGATGTTCTCCGCGGAGGAGCTGCCACCCACAGACCCCGAGCACCCCGTCGACGAGATCCATCAGGCTGTGCTCCACCTGCACTCCATCGCCAAGAACCTCCGAGCTCAGCGCTTCTCAGGAGGAGCCCTCAGACTGGACCAGGTTAGTCCTCACTTTCTCAGGCTTTACTCTATGGTAGGGTTTAAACGAAAAGACAGGGCGTGGTTAAGTCTGTGTAGCTGCTGATCGTGCTTTCAGCCTTCCTAGTATTATATTCATATACATAATATTACATTTTTTGCAGATTTAACAGGAATATTTGAGCTGGCTAATATGATGTTACCCAACAGTACTTTTATAAAAAGTCTACATAAGGAATGGAGGACAACTAAACCCATATTATTTAATTTGTCATGGCCCCGCCCCTTTTTGGGTGAAAATATCTGCTGTTATTGGACTGGGGGTTAATAAAAGTTCCGAAGTGTTTGCCAACCCGATCACTAATTTAAGGAAACCATGCATTTGTATTTGCTTGGAGCCCAAATATGTTGGTCAGTCAGCAAACAATTACACAATGTCCTTGGGTTGATAAATGATGAGAGCAATAGGGGATCAATCCTTTAAATCCAACTGTGGATGACTGGCTAACACTGAAACTGGGATTTCTGCAGCTTGTGTTTGATATTTTAAAGCAGCTTCTACAATTATTACCTTCACGTTTAAGTTTACAACCGTTTACTTGGACGATTGATGTTTTTTTGCATCTTAATGTAGCTGTGATGAAGTGTTTTCCTCAGACGTACAGTATTGACTGACCTGGTCCCATTGCTTACACTTAGTCCTTAACACTAACCCTTCAGGCTCTGACATTATTTTCATGTGCATGGCTTGTTTTTTTTGTTTCAGTTGAAACTGGCTTTTACCCTGGACAAAGAGACCATGATGCCTCAAGGCTGCTACGTTTACCAGTACAGAGACAGCAACAAGTGAGTAGCAAACCCTCGTCAGATGAGTCTCTGTTGCCCCTTTCACACCAACGCGGTTCCAGGGCCGGTTCGGAGCTAGATCCTGATAAGCACCGGTTTTTCCTGTTCACACCGCAGCGGAGCCGGCTCTTTTCCCCCGAAAACCGGTTCTTACCAAGCTCCAAAAAATTGTCGGTCTAGAAGCAAGAACCGCATACGTCACGCTTACGTCGGAGGCGTGGGCAGGGGCGTTATCAACCTGAGCTAACAGTTTATGGCGAGTACGGCAAATGAAAGTTGTAACAAGCAGTAGCGCTGAGCAAAGTGACTAGAACGCGACCACACACTTATAAAAAAATAACACACTTTATAAAGTCAGGCAACACTAACCAGGCTTCGTGTGATTCTGTTTATTTGTTCCTTACTTTGACCATCCGTTCACTGTTATTGATCATTGTGGAGAGAGGCAGACGTGTTGTTTTGTATTGTAGCAGCGATCGGATGGAATCAATACATGGGCTGCACAGGTTGTCATGTCCGACTATCACAAGTAGAATCATAATGAAAAATACGCCGGTAAAATGTGCCTGTAGAAAACGGCTTATGCCACAATAGGATAGCAACAAGTAGTCAAGATAGTCAGTTTAGCTTCGGTTGCTATGGTAACATCACTCATTTTATACCAGAGAAACTTTCATAACAGCGTTGTGATGCCAAACAGCGCCAGCACTGCAGCGGTCGGTAAATGCCGCTGAAACACATTAATAAACAATGAACCACGGCACTCTGGAGAAAAGTACAAGGGTTGAGAAGTAGTTATTTAATTTAATCTGGCTTCGTACGATTAAAAGCAACACGATCATCGACCCGACACAGTTGGGGAGAAAATCAGCGACGTAAACAGTGAAGTCATGACGCAGCAGCGGCAGCACCAGTCGGGCTCTGGGCGGTGTGAACAAAACGGGTGCTGAAAAGAAAAGCCGGTTCCAAACCAGAAAAGCTCTAGCATGGAGCTAGAACGGGAATCGCGATGTGTGAAAGGGGCATGTGTCCTTCTCTCCCAAAAGGAGCTTTTACTTGATGTGACACATGTATAAACTTTAGTGAAATACCTTTCTGCATCAGTCTGGAATGCTTAAATATCAGTCCCTCTTTGTTTTGTTTGGTTTTTTCGACATTCTGGCTGCTCTTCAAGTTTTTTGACATCCTTCTTGATATTTGGATTTTCTATATTGTCATTTTTAGTTTAGTTTAGTTTTTTTTATGTACACACAACATGGATTGCACGTTTTCGTCTGTCCTGGCAGAGGGATCCCTCCTTTGTTGATCTCCATGAGTTTCCTCCTTTTGGGATTTATTTGGAACGTTTCTTCCTTGTATGATGCAAGGGTTTAAATTAGGGCTGTCAAACGATTACAATTTTTAATCAGATTAAGCACAGCTTAAAAATTAATTAATCATGATTAATCACCATTCGAACTATGTCCAAAATATGCCATTTATTTATGTATATTGTTGTGGGAATGGAAAGAAGGCGGATATATCCATTTAACATACAGTATCTATGTTTATTATAACATTTTTCTGCGTGTCAAAATGAAAGACAACCCACACACCTATCAATCATCAAACCGTGGGGTCTTAATTCATTACGTGTTGATTTCTATCAACGGGGGAGTACTTCAGGAAAGTCGACAGAGGGGGGGGGGGGGGGGGCAGCTAGTGGAGTACTTCGTGACCACAGAGTGTGAACGTTGTGATCAGCTGTTTTAGCGCAGTTCTCCAGTTGGCGTAGCCAACCGGCTGCGGTTGGCGTAGTTTTGGCACAATTCCGTTGTACAGACCGACGTTAACAGCAGCCCTGTCTGTGCACACGGAGACCGACTCTGTCGTCCGGTGATCTAACCACCTTCTGGAAAAGCTTCACAAGTACGTCGGTACGCAAATGCGCTTTGTGACACAAGTGACGGTACGCATTTCAGATTACGCACATAACCTGCGTACCAGTTATGTGCACCCCTGTACTACAGCAAAAGTATTCTCCGTCGGGACTTCCTGCAACAACACCACGCCGTTATCAAAGATGTTCTATTGAGAAGACGATCACTACGAGACAAAAGTTTTCAAAACCGTGGCTACTGAAATCAATCTTACTAACTGCTGTCTGTGCAATTTACTCCGCGAGTTGGCGGACTTTATTTTGCTTCCTTTAACATCATTTTTCATGGTGAGGCTATGCGATTTCTTGGTATGGGTGTAGCCTACCCCAGCCATACCCTGGCGCTGCCACTGGTGGCACGTATGGGGCGGGCCATTCTGCACATGCGTTAAATGCGTTAAATATTTTAACGCAATTAATTCAAAAAATTAATTACCGCCGTTAACGCGATAATTTTGACAGCACTATTATAAAGACAGTGTACACACTTTAACGCCCCCTGATGCAAATGTGTAATATGAATAGATGAATTGATTTAACCATCATGCATAACTTTGTTCTCCAGGTTGGTGGAGGAGTTCATGTTGCTGGCTAACATCGCCACAGCCCATCACATCCACTCCAAATTCCCTCAGCTGGCCCTGCTCAGGCGCCACCCCCCACCCAAGGCCAAAATGGCGGAGGAGCTGCAGGAGCTTTGTGACCAGCTGGGAATCGACATAGATCTGTCCTCTGCAGGAGCGCTGCATGTAAGTACTCGCAATACAACGGCCCAGTGTCTAATTTCTCAGAACAATATTTAAAGTTCAATATCTCTGATCGACCTATTCTAACTGACATCACTATTTTTGCAAATCGTGATAGGGTTGCAAATGAAATCGTCAAGAACCAAACTACTGCATTTCCGAAACAAGCTTGCCTATCTAGTTGTTGTTATATTAAGTCTTATGATCAGAAATCTAAAAAATAACGCCATACTTTGTATTAAATGTCCTAAATCAATCTTTCAAAAGTTCCTTTAGAGGTCAAATGTTATCTTGAATATTTAGATATTGAAATCTCAAAATAATTGTAAAAATGAATGTCATTAAAACCCTTACATTTCCCTTGTCTTAAGCATTAAGATCACCTTCTTTTGGACTGTGGAGAGGTGTTCATTATTGAAGTAATGCCTATAAACATAGACGTACTATCATCTCAATATGAATCGCCTACCCGTATTTCCAGCAATACGTTTATTTTCCATTTAATAATTTTGTCTTTTTCCCCCCTTCATAAGGATTGGATGCTCAATACATGATTCACAAAGCGTTTGAGTCCTCACACCTTCTGTAAATGACTGTGTTGATGATTCAATTCTCTTTTCTGCCTTTCCAACCTGCAGAAGAGTCTCCACACCACTCTCGGAGATGATGAGTATACCGCTGCCAGAAAAGAAGTCCTCACCCACATGTGCTCCAGACCCATGCAGGTGAGAGCTCGGCCCCAACCATTGTATTTCTATTGTAGATGTGGGTGGGGGGTTTATCTGCTGGTGGACTACCTGAGAGATATACAGCAGGAGAACACGCCGTCCACCGCGGAGAATAAACAGAAGGGCAACCATGACAACCATGCTCCGGGGTCTTCTTCGCTGCTTTTGGTGTATTTTGTGGCGGCAGCAGCGCCACTTACAGGCCTGGCATATGTACTACAGCGTTTCCAGCATTTCCAGCGGTCTAGTGTGAACGGACACGTTAATGAATCGAATGCGTGTGAACGGAAGACTTTTTTGCGTATGCGTTTTACTGTATGCGTCCTCGTGGGGCCGGGGTCTAAGCCAAACTATATCCGGTCACAGAGATCTGCTATTTTAAAGTAATCACATATCGACCATAAATATAGTCTATATTAAGAACGAGAAAAGTCTTAACATATATATCGTTTTTTGTAAACATATGACAAATGTGTGAGGGTGATGACGTCAGAGCATCGTCCTATGTGCCGCGCTTAGCCCCGGACAGCCCCAGCCCAATTTAACCCCTGGGTATTTGTGAGGGAGCTCCTATATGGCATTACCCCGCTGAAGCTCACCAAAGTTTAATATATTTCATAGTTCAAAGTTTTGTCAATTGTTTTGTTTATTGGTCAAATACTGGTTTCTGATGGTTTCTGCGGAGAGGAGGCTTCAGTAGTCTGTCTGCACTCTGTTTAGTTGTGCTATCTTACAATCAATATAGTCAATGTGAGGTAAAGTGTGTCGCCAATGTAACCGGTTAGAAGTCGAAGTTGCGATGAGGTCTTAAAATGTATGGAAAGGGTCTTAAAAAAGGTCTTAAAAGGTATTACATTTGACTTCAGGATTCCTGCATATACCCTGATCAAAGAAAACGGGTCATCTTAAAATATTACATAAATAATTTCAAGTAATATTTCTGTGAGTTTCTGTATTTATCGTTTGTCTTTTTCCCCAGATGGCGCTGTACTTCTGTTCAGGAACTCTTAAGATGGAGGACCTCTTTAAGCACTACGCCCTGAACGTTCCTCTCTACACTCACTTCACATCCCCCATCAGGCGCTACGCCGACATCATCGTCCACCGGCTGCTGGCCTACTCACTGAGTGCGTACTTCAACTAATTAATAATCATCTATTGAATTATTATTTATTTTATTAAACAAGGGCCATGCGTGAATATACATTAATCTCAAAAAGAGAAGAACTCTGTTATCTGTGGTAACACAAGCTGAAGTCAGTAAATACGTCAGGATATAAATGTCGACTGCCAACAAGTGCTTGTATGAGACTGCTGAATGGCATTAGCCAAACATTAGCAGCCTTTAGCTTAGCTACTGAGACATGCAAATGGGTGTAGTTATTGTACAGCCTGTTGAGGGAGCCCTTGCCTTGATGACTTTCAGGTTGGCCTACAAAACAAATGGGTCATCGCTGCACCACTCTATATCAGTGATGTTGTTGTTTTCTCTTCCATTCTCATCATGCTGGTGTCTGTCTGCTGAATGTTTGGATGCAGACTGTGGACCCAGTTTGGGGCTCTCAACACAGGATGTGGAAAAGCAGGCGTCCCACTGCAACGAAAGGAAGACTCTGTCCAAGAGAGTCCAGGAGCTCAGCTCTGAGCTCTTCTTCGCAGTGTTTGTAAAGGTGGGTAGCCTAATGGGAAAACACACCTTTTTATTATTGTTCTCTTTGCTACAGTGCCTATAATTATTATTATTATTACTTTTTTGCTATAAATACTTCGTCGGTGTACTGAAGTATTTTCTTTGTCCGTGCCGCACAGGATTGTGGCCCTCTGGACTCTGAGGCCATGGTGATGGGGGTCCTGGATCAGTCCTTTGATGTGCTGGTTCTCCGATACGGAGTACAGAAACGCGTCTACTGCAAGGTCAGCTCCAAAACACTCCAGTTACAGAGATCAGTTTCACTATTAATATGTTATTATGTTCAGCCTTCAATTAAGTCCTTTTGTACACATTTATTAACATTGTTGGTAAAGTGTTATTATTTTGTGTTTATAATTATTACTTTGTATCTTTTAAAACCTCTTTGGTCTTAATTGTTGGTGACATAGGTCTCATATTTAGAGATATTCTATTGACCGTTTATTTGACACTTCCACTGCATGGAATGGCTGTACATTCTACTCGACTCACTTTTTGGATCAATTACTTTCTTTATTTCCGTTTATAACTCCAGATGTTGCCCCCTCGGTGTAGGCAGGATTCTCAGCTTGTACCACGCTATGTGAAACCGCCTGGAATCTCTTTATCAAAAACCAGAGGAGCTCCTTTTTACATTTTCATTGCGGTTTTTATTTTGAGTAAATCTAATATTCCGCTTGCTATTGACGATATCTTGGCTATACAATATCAGCGGGTTCGTGCAAGATGTCTTGTTCGCGCTAGTGAAGTTTCTCTCTGAAGTGGTCTCCAGCTTCTAGCTGTGGCTGACCGCCCTTGAAACATCGACAAAGGTGGTACTGAAAAAGTTACCAGGTAATATCCACAACGTTTCACAAACGGAAACAAAAGAGCGAACCAAATTCAACAAAGCCGTACCATGCAGTGAAAATGCAGCATATTATTTAGTACTGTAAAAACCTACTCAGGAGTGGAAAATGAGTACGAAAACACAAGTCATCATACATCATCATACACACGGCATCTATTGCACGTCTGTCCGTCCTGGGAGAGGGATCCCTCCTCTGTTGCTCTCCCTGAGGTTTCTCCCATGTTCCCTTTAAACTGTGGGTTTTCTCTGGAAGTTTTTCCTTGTACGATGTGAGGGTCTAAGGACAGAGGGTGTCGTATTGTCATACTGATATTCTGTACAAACTGTAAAGTCCACTGATACAAATGTAACATTTGTGATATTGGGCTATAAATAAACATTGATTGATTGATTGATCATCACATGTCCGTTTAATCTGATACTATATGAAACCGTTTGTTTCCCCACTCAGTCGATTACGGGCCTGAGCTCTTTCCGCCATCATAAGGTGGGGAAGAAATCTGAGCTGACGCTGCTCTGGATACCAGAGGACCTGAACAAAGCTCCAGTAGAGCAGGTGAGGACCACACAAACACACACTGAACATGCTTTGGTCCTTTTGTTACCTGTCAATTGAAAAATAGAGGTATTGTTTAATACAAATAGAATGGGGGAGTTTGTGATTGTATTTTTGAAGTGGCTTCGACAGTAATGTGATAGTAATGCGAGACAGAGAAATACAAAACTTATTTTTGCACATCATATCAGGTATTGTGGTTTTTATGCACATTTCCCAAACAAATGATTGATTTCATTGATTGAATTTGAAATAACCAGGAGAAAACAAGATGACTCACTTGTTCACTTGAGATTTGGACCAGCTAGCTTCCGTAAACATGTTTTTTTAAAAAGTGTCCTGAGCAAAAACCGAATTGTAAAAATCATAATTTCTTGTTTCCACTTCCAGGTAATTTCGATCTTCACGTTAGTGGAGGTGCAGCTGAAAGCGGACGGTGCGCCCATGAAATACAGTGCAGTGCTGAAGAGGCCCGAGGAGAAGGAAGAGTAAACACCTAAATGTGCTGTAGAGCACACAAACACTTGGATGGAAATTTGGAATTGCAAATTCCAAAAAAGTAGTATTTTAGGAGCAGTATTAGCAGTAGGCTAGGTGGTTAGCAGGGAAATCACCGTCAATCAGATTTCAATTGAAGTTTCCCATCTTCTTAAGTCCCAATCCAGGTGTTTTTGATTTTTAATATTAGCCCACTTACTGCAAATAACCCACAGTTATGTTCTGGATGATTGCCAATTTTCCAAAGTATATTATTGTGTTCAATAGTTCTCATGTTGCTATCATAGTTACTTTTTTTTGCGTAATACATGGAAGGCCACATTTAGAGACATGAAACAGGTTCCCATTCACAAGGCATTAAAGGCTTTCAGTCTTTAAAATGAACAGAAATAAAAGTAGAATACGTTTTAAAACGTCTACCAAGGTATGCATTGGAAAAGTGCTGACTGTGACGTGTGATTTACAGTAATTGGTTTAAAACATGTGAACACTGATTTTTTTTATTTAAGCCTCAGTGATTCACTTCAATATTTTATGTAATTCAGTGGATGGGCTTCAATTTAAATTGTGACGCAAGTCTGACGGTGAAATAACCTATGCAGCAACTACTTTTTATGTTGCTGCGGATTTATTGACCTTTATGAGGACCGTTGTGATATAACTGTTGTACACAGTCTAATGCGCGAAAGCTGATTTTCAGTTTAATATCAATGACTAGTTTGAGATTCTAGATTGAGTTAAGAGCCTTATTTGTGTTTGCAGAGCAAAAGAGTATACCACACGACTGACGTTTACTTATTTGTCTGTCTATGGTTGTTGTTATATAACTTGTTGTGAAGATACATACATAAAACAGGGAAACATGTAGCAGTAAAAGCAAGTTTATAATCGACATTATAACGACCGAACCGGTGGATTAACGCTTGCTTAGACAAAATAACAGCTTCTGCCATCCATGACTTTTTATATTGTTGTATGTATTTAAAGGTTTTATACTGAAGAGTTTTCAGATTCTTCTGGGGGCTTTAAGGTACACATCATAGGAGTTTTGGTTTGATTTAAATTCTTAAAGGAGGATGTATCCAACACATTGTTTTAGAATTTCTTGAAATGCTACCAAAAAAAGGTTGGTGGCCTTGAGATCTTGAATTCCAATTGTAATCTGTGGGGATTTCATTCTCAGAATGTATTTCTGTAGCACACATTCTAAATGAACCTCATTAATATCAACTGTGAATTTCAGCCTTAATTTAATCAAGAGAAGATAAAAGATCATTTTAGTGAAGCTGCACATTTTTTTTAAAGATTGTGGGCCTTCGATTTTGCTTTAATTGAGTCAATGTGCCTCTTTTTTACTCAGTGCCATGTAGTATCATAAAATCTGCTGCTATGTCTGCACAACTTTCTTTTATTTTTGGATTTCAAGCCTCTTTTGTTTTGATTTTTTGAAGAACATTAGCTCACTTTAATTTTTTACGTTTTGTTTTTCACAGACTTTAAAAGTATTTTAAACATGCAAGTTAAGTTATGGTGCAAAACAACTGTACTGAGTCATTGGGATGGTCTGCGATTGGTTGGGAAAACAAATCTATTTAATTGGAAACCTTACATACATCAAAAGTACGATTTCTGTGTATTTAGCAATGTTATATTGTAAGATGTTACTTTGAGTTATGTCAGTATTTGAAGTGCATTTGTACTGTGCTTAAACCATCATCCAGAGCAATATATACTGTAGTTGTGCTTGTCTATTGGGAAATAAAAGACCTACATGAATGACTAAAACTGTTTTGTTTTTTTCCTGAACACAAGTTTAAACATAATTACATTCTGGTGTCGATGGTACAGTCAGTGAGGATGAGGAGGAACAGAAATGAGTAAGTGATCCGTGCTGACAGTGACACACTGATGACTCTAGTTTACTACAATGGGCACTGCCCTGCTGTTTATTTTATATTCCAAATAAACGGAGATAATCTGTGTTCTTTGTTACCAGGGAGTGTTTGCAATGAAACCACATTCTGATCCAGCGGGTAGAAGATAGTAAGTGAAGAGATATGTGTGATGGTTAATAATTTAGCCTGTTATAAAACTACAGGTAGCCAGATGGTATAATTCCACACCCCATGAATAATAATCGTAACAGGGAATATGTATGACTGGATTTATTTGTAATGTGCCACACTGTCATGAATTTACAGGTCTGCAAACAAATTCTATAATATTTTAATTACCACTGGTTCACCTGACTTCCTGTACACTTTAAGGGTCTGATATACCAAGTGAACACGAATCAATAGATTAAATGTCGTGACTATAACACGAAATGCCGTGAGACTGGGTTGGATATACAGTACACCTGAACTCCAGCTTTGTAGCATAGTTTTAATCATTATACCGGCCACTCAACAGTTTGTGTTTACTGTTACTGCTGTCGTATCTTTGTGTTGCCCTTTGCCATGAACACAACGTTAAACCTGCTGTTCACTACCTGTACAGAACGGCAGTAACCTACCCTCAATGAGTGACTAGCTAGTAAAAAAAAGGAGCATTTAGCTTTTTAAGAGGGCAGAGAAAAAAGTTAATATTTGGTAATTGGTCATTAACAGCTTTAAATATTTTTTAAATATGTTTTTTTTTTGGGTAGTGGGTTATTTTTTAGACAGAGAAAGTTGCATAGCTCATCTCTTTGTAACCTTTGTTAATAGCAAACGCATTAGCCACACTACGTTAAGGACAAATGCTAAAAGTTTGCTAACATTAGCCACCATTTGCTACCAGTCATAGCAGACCATTTAAATCAGTAGCAGTCAAACACTTAAATACATTGAGTCAAGCATAGTATTTTATTGGTTACTAAACCAATTTATATTTGTGTCCTTCTTATGCTGCTTAGTGTGTCACTTGGAGAAAAAAACCGACTGCTGTTATCGTTTTAAGACGTCATAACGCAGGATACGTCATTACAAAGTTAGTGAAAGATAGCTGCTGGGGGAGTCAGAAAGATTATCTTTTTGTCACGTATTGTGAAAATGTTATCGTCACCACTTTGCAATTGTTTGTTTAAGTTTCAATCTTTCTGCTCCGACTTCCCTCACAGACATTTCCTTATCGGAGATGAACGCCCTCCTGACGCCAGTGAGTGCCTCCAATCTCAGTCCCTACAGTATGTTAGGCAGAATATGAAACATATTAAAGCTGGTCCTCTGTCAATTTAAGATATAGTTTCAATCTCATATTTGAATCTTTATTGCAGGGCGAGTGCGTGAGACGACTACTCTGATCAACACAGATAGAGTCCAAAGGCTGCACATAAATGTTATGACACTGAATGTTTGACCATAGCCAATCTGCATCAACGCCATTTACAGGAAAATGAGTTATTTAATATTGATGAATGAATGTGCTGTTATTGCTATAAAATAGCATTAGAATTTTATGTCATTTTATTTCCATTAATGGACAATAAGAGAAGGGACTGTATAGAAATAGATGAACTGTCAATTACACTTACCTAACAACCAGAACTTACAGTTACATGAGAAAAATAAATTATCAAGAAATATACACAAATTCACAATTAACTATGCAAAACAAATTAAATAAAAATATATAATTATTGCTGATACCGTCAGAAAATAAACAATTAAATGGGGTAACGCTGGCCAGGTGACAAGACAGATATGATATATCCGTAAGATCAGTTTCTCTTCCCCTTCCCTTTTCAGCAACAGCTGGTTCAAAGTCAAAGTGCCATAAAAATCAGTTTGTCAGTCAAAGGAGGGCCGAGTCGCCTCCTACATACTGAGACAGATTCAGCAGGGCATCGGGACAAACAGCAACTCTACGGCACACTGAAAGAGTGGAAATTAATGAAGATCGCTCCTTAAAGGACTGTTAGGTAGACCTCTTCATATTTTTCAGTCACACTGATTTTTTATTATTACTATTCTGCTGCCTATGTGCATATTAACCGATGAATTGAGAACAACAGGGGATTTGTAATAAATACTTTTAAACCCTACCTTGGGTTTTTTGTAATGCATGATGACCTACGGATATCCAAACTTTTCTTTGAAACTGCAACTCATCATATGGATTTTTTTGTGTCTAGGGAGTAGGAACGCTGAAAATCTGTGATGCTGAGAAAGGTAGGACTGAGAAATTCAGAATGAGTTTTATTGCTATGAATGCTACTTACTAGAAATCATGCTTGTTCCTTGATGTAGTGTAAACATTTCCTGCTGTCATTCCTTCAAGGAAATAATGGAAGCTTATAAAGACGGTCCCATCATAAATGTGGTATTCTTCAGAACATTAAAGGAATGCTTCACCCTTACAGTGATTCTTTGATTATCAATTATTCACCCTGGTACCTTGAATTCTCAATGTATTTTCTCTAATGCCTCCACAGAGATCAAAGAATAAAAAACAAAGCAAAGTGTTAATGAATTAAAATAAATTAGGGCACGGGTTTAACGTCATGGAAACTATAACCCAAGTCTCATTCATCCAGTTGAATGCTCAATACTTCCCAAACACAAAAACCCAGATTCTACTTCATCTCACCAAGAAATGTCTCAGGTTGAATTATTTGTTTACCATGGAGGTAAGCCAATTCAAAAATAATCATATTGTGGGTGAAGTGTTCCTTTAAACAGAAAATCTGCTGGTGAATATTATCATTGTATGTATCGTGCTGTGTATTTTCAGGGGGAGTGGGTGTGGGTGGACTCCGACATCGGGGTACCCATCGGAGCTAGGGTCACAGTAACACCATCTGGTCAGCGGTTACTAGTCGACGATGAAGGAAAGGTAAATATCCCCTTGTTTAAATAAAAAGCCAAATCAATATGTTAAAGTGTGTTGGTTTAAATAAAAAGCTAAATCAATACTGTATGTATTGCTTACATAAAGCATCATAAAAAACATGTACAGCCTGGGGTTTGACCTTATTTCTTTCTTTGACCTCTCGCAGCAGCGGAGTCTGGCCCAGGAGCAGGAGGCCTCGCTCAGGATCATGCACCCCACCTCCGTGGAGGGGGTGGATGACATGATCAAGCTGGGAGACATGACGGAGGCCGGCCTCCTCCGGAACCTGCTGATGCGACACAAACGAGGCCTTATCTATGTAAGGCAAAGTGCTATGCAGCTCAAAGGTTTTCAAACAATAAGAAAGTAAAGAATTCCACACATTTTAATGAGAGTAAATAAACAATTAAACTACACAATAGAAAAGGAAATCAAATAGTGCCAATAACGAATACAAAATCTGAACATTTACAATAATTCCTGATCATTTGACATTTTTCAATGCTTTATTTATCTCGAATTAAATTGAATGTACCTTCTTTGTATGATTAAATATCACTATAGTGTCATGTATACATAATATGCCCAACCCTTACGGCACTACAAATTAGCAAATATTTAGAAGAATACCAAAAACCAGAGTAGGAACGCACAAATAATATTAAACAATTAGACAATCTTGTTTGTTTTCACCATGCTTTAGGAACAATGGTAGCAAATGTATGAGAATAAATTTGAATCAACCATACAGTTCTGCCATCATAAGTGCACTTGAATATTTCTGGATTTTTTTCCTCTATCCTAAACATCTCACACAGCACCATTTGTCTTTTACAGACCTACACAGGCTCTGTGCTGGTGGCAGTGAACCCATACAAGGATTTCCCTTTTTATTCAGGTGACCAGGTGAGGCTGGTTTTAAAATTCATCACAGACGTACTACAGTTGCAAATCATGTCCCCTTCATCATCTAACCCCGTTATCTTTCAGGTGGGGTTGTACCACGGCCGAAAGCTGGGTGAACTCCCTCCGCACATCTTCGCCATCGCTGAGTCATGCTACTGTAACATGATGCGGCATCTCAGGAACCAGTGCTGCATCATCAGGTCACCATGAATCATTTGACAGTCTTCAATAGCATACATCTTGTTAGGGTTTGCTTTTTGTTTACACTTCTTCTTCCCTTCTATATGTTCCTCAGTGGGGAATCAGGTGCGGGGAAGACAGAGAGCACAAAGTTGATCCTGCAGTATTTGGCGGCGGTCAGCGGTGAGCTTTCTGAGCAGCAGATCGAGCAGCAGATCCTCGAGTCCAACCCCATCCTCGAAGGTACTACGTCAACAGACTGTCAAAACAATTCCCCATTCAAAATCGATTCTTGTCTTAGTACATAGGTGACTCATTTCAGGGTTAACAGCTGTGACCTGTGAGTTAATGGAAAAAATATTACACGAAAGCAGAGTAAAGTGTGTATAAGGTTATATTTGAACAAGTTATATCGAATGATAGCAATAATGCTAACACATAAAGACTAACCTTCAACAAATCTTACATTTATGATTATCATACACAAATGCAAACTTTTTACAACAACTTTTTAGTGACATCCAGAGTAAAAAGTGAAATGTATCCCAAACTATTTATATGCTGCCTGCTACATTAAAATACTGGTTTTAGTTGGCTTCTGAAAACTCTGAAACATGTTCAATTAAAATATAAATTGCACACCAAAAAAAACCTTTAAAAACCCTTTCAAGCTTTTATTTTGTGGGATTTTCTCAACTTGTACAATTCGTGACACAGCTTTGCCATGTGTACAGTACATCAGTAGCAATATCTTACACCTTTTGAGGAAAACACGTTAACAGGTCTTAGGAGATAAGCATCTCCACAAACAACTTCCTGTTGAGACACACCCATACACAGAAAAAGTACAAAAATAATAATAAAGCGTCCTTGTTCTGTCCCATGCAGCGTTTGGAAATGCAAAAACGATCCGCAATGACAACTCCAGTCGCTTTGGGAAATATTTGGAGATCTTCTTCAGTAAGAACGGAGTGATTGAAGGAGCTCGAGTGGAGCAGTATCTCCTGGAGAAGTCCCGTGTCTGCCATCAGGTGAGTTGTCTCAGTCCAAACACCTGCTCCTTCTTATCATATCCCCAATGGGGAGGGGGGGCAATAAAAACAGGGCTGGTTAGATAAACACGGTGTTATCATGGACAGTGAACCCTTAGAGAATTTCCCGTTGAAGTCATGGAAAATATTAGCAGGTCATTCACAGCCACAATGAGTGTCCTTTTGAACACCTTTTCTTTTACTGGTACACGTCCTATAATTATAAAGCATTAAAAGCACACTTATTGAGCAATTCCTCTCTTCTTATTTCTTTTTCGCTTTTTCTATTATGTTTTCCTGATTTGTGGATTCTTATGTAGTATTTAATGTAATTAACAGTTCATTTTGTTATTCATGCCATTCATTCTCAAAAGGCTTATGGCTCGGTTAAACTCGATTTATAAGAATTCCTAATGCTATTTAATAACATTCAGAGTATAATAATTCTAATAATCGTAATACAGTATATATTGCTTTTTTTATGCATTATAATCACAGTTATAATGCTTTAGAATTTGATATAAAGTTACTTTAAGTGCTTAATGTGAAGTAATTATATACCTGAGGTATATGGAGATAAAATAAATTAAAAGGTGGTTATAAGTCACTTTAAACGGGCTTTATTTACGTTAAGTGAAAAATACATAATTGAATCCAATCAAATCAATGAATAACTAGCAAAAATGTGGTGTTATGACACTTGACCTTAAATGTAATTAAAGGGGCCATATATTGCTCATTTTCTGGTTCATATTTGTATTTTGTCTGGCTCTGTTGTGATTGGTCAACTGCTTTAGAGATATCCCCAAGATTTTAGCCTTTGCAAACCATTTACATGCACCCAAACCATTATAATACACTACAGGAAAAGGAAAACCCCAAAAAGCATAATAAATGATAATTGTTATATTTTAAAGCATTATAAATAGTACATAGAACTAGTTATACTTCGAAGTAGACTATAATGCATCATAAGCATGTTTATAATGCATTTTAGACATGGAAAGTGTTACTGTTTATCTTCTTGTAACAATAATGGTTTATTTTTGCTCCACATACCTTTAGGCCCTGGAGGAGAGAAACTACCACGTGTTTTACTATATGCTGGCAGGAGCCACGGCAGAGGAAAAGAAAACGTTGAACCTCGGTGATGCTAAGGAGTACAAATTCCTTTCCAAGGTATAACATTGGCTGCCACCCCGAACATCTGACATCTTGTCGATTTACTGTAAACAATGTGAACCTTCCTTCTCATGTGCTACAGGGCGGCTGTATCCAGTGTGACAGCAGGGATGATGCTAAAGACTACCAGCGTATTCTCTCCGCCATGAAGATCCTCACCTTCTCAGAACTCCAGTGTCAGGAAATCCTCAAGCTGCTGGCAGCCATGTTACACCTGGGAAACGTCTGCTTCCAGGGTGAGTCAACACATGTGACATATTATAGTTTTTTTCTATAAATTGCTGGTTATATTTAATGTCAGGAACAATAAAAAGGTCAATAAAACAGATTTACTATAATCCTAGCAGTAATGGTTGCTACACCGAAAGCATTTAAACAACTGTAGTAATACCAAAATGTTACAACACTCCACTACAAGATAAAGTCAGATTATTACTTGTGGTGGCAATCGATAAACAAAACGTAATCACGTTTAATCACAACATTCATTTCTAAAATGTGAAACTTAAGTTTAAAATATTTAGAAATCAGAGCTTTTATTTCTTTATTTTTATTTTTATTTCATTTAATTATAATATATTTGATGATTTCTGATTTATTTTTCATGAAGTCCAACATTTTTACAAATGTTTTTGTTTATATAGTTTTTTTGTTACACATTTAAGTTTACAGATTCATTGCGCGTTAAAATTGACAGTGCTTATATAACGCATTTTAAGTACATTTATAATGCAATGCAATTGTAGACATGGGCATCATAGAAAATGTGATTACCCAAAAGGGGTACTTTTTTTGTGGTGTTCTTGTTGTTGTTACATTTGATTTCATGTTCCCACCAGCCAACACACAAAATAACTTAGAAACCAGTGATGTTAGCAAGTCCCAACACTTCAGCATGGCTGCATCACTCCTGGAGGTGAGCGCAGAGATCGAGTGATGGTAAACCATTAACTTATTATCTGTATCAGCACGAAATGATTGAAAAAGTATTTTCCCTTCAGGTGAAGAGGTCTGCCCTGGCAAAGAGTTTGACCGAACGCTCCTTTATGACCAACAGAGAGAGTGTGATCAAACCCCTCAGCGCCGATCAGGCGTCTGACTGTAGGGACGCCTTTGTGAAGGTAATAAATCTGACCCAATGACTGGCAATCAAAAGGCTGCCAACCTCCTTATTGGATCCTTTCATATAGAAATTTATTTGCGTACTGCAATTGATAAAGATAACAGCATGACGTCATTTTAACCTTTGATTGCAGAGGGATTCATTGAAAACTCAAACTAGAACTTCAACACAATTTAAAAGAGGAGGGTGCAGGCAGGGGTTTTCAGACACAGCAGTTGTCATGAGAGGGGGGGATGCAGGGATTATTACAAACAACCATCCAGTCACTGAAGAACTCAACTCTATCAAGGCAGCGATAGACTTCCTTGTTCTGCGAGATAAAATTACTGTTTTTGTCAATGGAGTGGATATGGCGAGAGCTTATATAACAGCTTCTGTTCCTTACGCATTGTATAATTGTCTGACGGGAAAGTTAAGCATAAAAAATATTCTAAGTATAGCGTACACTTAAATCGATGTTGACCCTTTGTGTGGGTCTTTATTTTATGTGGTTAAACTGAATTTGCTACTCCTGTTCACAGCAGTACGTTTCTTGACAAACTATTACTTTAATATTCCTTTGTGAGTTGGACTGATTCCTCTTGATAAGAAGATCAAATTACATTTTAACACATTTTGTATCGATCGCTCAGGCAATCTACAACAAGCTGTTCATATGGATCGTTGAGAAAATCAACAATGTCATCTATAAGAAGTTGACCAAAAGCCCCAAATCCTCCTTCCTGTCCATCGGCCTGCTCGATATCTTTGGTTTTGAGAACTTCAAAACAAACAGGTAAGGACTTGTTTTTTTCTCTCATGTTGAGCACAGCACTGTTTTACACTTAGTTACAGCTGTTCAAATGTAACCCTGTCGTCCTACAGCTTCGAGCAGCTGTGCATAAACTTCGCCAACGAGAAGCTGCAGCAGTTCTTCGTGGGCCACATCTTCAAGCTGGAGCAGAAGGAGTACCTGAAGGAGGACATTGTTTGGAATAGCATCGAATTCAGTGACAATCAGAGCATCCTGGACGTTCTGGCTATGAAACCCTGTAACCTTCTGGCTCTGATCGATGAAGAAAGCCACTTTCCAAAGGTTGGTTGCGCTATACAAGGGTTGCTTTTAAGACAAATCACACAGCAAATATTGTTAAAGTCTTTACTTTGGAATCTGCCAGTTCATATGTTCTGCTGGTTTTAAAGTCAAAATATTGTTTGGTGTGCCACAGGGCTCTGACGCCACTATGCTGAACAAGATGAACCAACAACATCGTAGGAACAAGAACTACCTCTCTTCCAGAAGTGAATACGACACAGACTTTGGCGTTCGCCACTATGCTGGCATCGTATACTACGACTCCAAAGGTACAAAAACAACATTTACAAAAAGTCCAACTGAAGACTAATGATCTGTTGCATGGTGATAGTATTGTTCTTTCTCCCCCCTGAAGGCTTCCTGGAAAAGAACAGAGATGCGGTCAGTTCTGACATGATCAGCATGGTGAAAAAGACCAAGAATATGCTGCTTCAACAGATATTTGAGGAAGAGCTTTCAACCAATAATGTAAAGATCAGCAACAACAAGAAGATCGTCATGACGCCCAACAACTCTCTACGGGTATGGAAATGTACTCCCATAAGCATGTCATTTACTTTTACCATGCTACATAAATCTTCTACTTATTTGGTTGGACAATGGTGCTAAAAGGTTGACCATTTTTGTTTGGGAACAACCCAAAGTAAAATCCTGGTTCCCTTGACAAAAGTCCCATTGGATTTTGTATTATTGCTAAAAAATGTGCTCTGTGGTAAACAAAAGCTTCACAACTAAACACCCTGATAGGATTTTTGAATCATAACTGCAACTAGCTAACATTAGCTAAAAAGCTAAGTAGCTACACCACTGTCACATGACTTCAACATCACCACAGCTCAGCTTAATGGGGACTTGTTTGTCACTGTGATTTTGAATGTATAAAGGAAACTGGATACAGCTTTCTAGGTGGGCTTCCATGACGGACCAGGAAGTTGTAATTCAACGATTTAGCCACAACCAAAATTAGCTTCAAGTGCTCTTCCTCATTCCTTGGGCGTGAGGACGTTAAGTAGTCTCATTTTGCCACTTGATAGCATCCGCCTTTGTTGAGACCAGTAAAATCATAGTTTATAATGTAAAACAAAGTTTAAAATATTGATATTTTAGACTATAAGTAAAACCCATTACTTGGAGACGAGGGACCAGAAGTTGCAAAAATGCTAACTCATGTCCATGTTTTAGGACTCATTCCTGCAGCACTCTATTGATAACATGACTTTAGTATTTTTCTTTCATCCATGCAGGCCCATACTGACAACCGTAAGCAAGTGGCGACGCTGAGCGCTCAGTTCCGTCAGTCTCTGGACTCCCTGATGAAGGCTCTGTCCGCCTGCCAGCCTTCCTTTATCCGCTGCTTCAAACCCAACAACGAAAAGCAGTCTGAGGCGAGTCACACATGAGCAACTACTGTATATTGTGGTCAAAATAACACGCAACGAGTGCTATGTTTAGCATTTTGAAACATGATTGTAAGCAGTTATGTATTATAAGCACATTAGATGAAGGTTGAGAGAAGTGTCAGTGATGTTTGTCATAGGAAATAAATGTCACTAAATAAATCCTGTATCCTGGGAGTCTACCTTTATTGAAGAGGATAATATTAATTTTCCAATCTACCTTTCAGCTGCTCTACCATCTGCCTTTTCACTGGATAAACAATTGCCTCTTCCTGCTTGGTGCCATAAAGCAATTTAGAACATTTTGATAACCTGCTATTGTAACTGGGAAGCTTTCCCAATCCCTTTTAAATTCATATCATCTATCTTCCCTCACTGTTATTTTTCCGGCCATGTTAGGGCAAGCTATAGAAGAGCAGGTCCACAACCTTCGTCCTGAATGTATTATATCAACAACTACTGGACGGATTGACATGACATTTTGTACAGAGATTCATGATCCCCAGAGGATGATCTCCCTACTACTTTGGCCATCCCCTGAGTTTTATTTTTGTGCCACAAAGTTTGAACTTATCCTGTAAAATATCTTAACATCCACATGATAGAGAACACAACGTTTTGTACAGATATTCCTGGTTCCCAGATGATGAATCCTAATGACTTTGGCCAACCTCTGACTTTTTCTTCTAACGCCACCACGTCATTTTGAGTGAAATAGCACAACAACTATTGGATAGATTGCCATGCAATATGTAGGTCTGGTTGTTTCGGTCCTGGCCATTTACTTTTTTGTCAAATAGTTAGTTTTTAATAACATTTTCATGTTCATGTTTAAAGTGGTGCTTTGGCATGATTCTCTCTGGATAAATTGATTGGTCATCAAAATCATATGAGTGTTACTGGAACTTCTTCAGTTGAGGACAGTCATAAAAATGTGGTACTCACATTAATGTTCCCCCAAGATAAATTGTATTAACTTTGATGAGCCATTTTGGTCTTAATCTGGTCCTTTTTTGTAATTTTGCAGTTAACGGTTTATTACCTATAACATAAAAATGAAGAAAGAAATGATAGTATTCTCACACTAAGATGGTGAACATGGTAACCATTATCCCTGCTTAACACCAGCATGTTAGAATGGACAAGTAATGTTTCTGTTGCTGTGATGGTAAAGGCAAGAATAAATGCAACTCAGACCCACATAGAAATAATATTCACATTAGCTTTAATGTGCTCTCCCTTTAGACATTTGACAGAGAGCTGTGTATGCGTCAGCTGAGATACTCCGGCATGTTGGACACCATCCGCATCCGGAAGCTGGGATTCCCAATTCGCCACACCTTTGAGGACTTCCTGAAGCGCTACAGGGTGCTGCTGAAGACGACCGTCTGTGACCCAAAAACTGTACGTTGTGATGTAGTGTTGTTGACGATCATATGTTACAAAGTTGATTTCATAAATTGTCATAAGTCTTATTCGTTGAATCTTAACTGTAACTGCTAACATGTCCTTACGACATGGTTGTCTTCTCCCCCTCAGAGAGATTTGGGCTGTTTTTAGCCTCTTTTCAGCATTTTTCTTTCTCACCAGGAGACAGCTGCTGCCTGTTGTGAAGCCATCTGCAAGACGGAGATTCAAGGAGAGGACGAGTGGAAAATAGGAAGGACCAAGATCTTCCTGAGGGTGAACAAAACGTTTAATTCAAACCATGTTGTTTCAGAGCTTTCTAAATCGTTTCAGCACAGTAGAACATCACTGCAGATTAACAGTTAACTGGTGAAGTAGTATCAGTGTTATGAACTAGCATGTATAGTCATTTCTACGGGAAGTACTGTACTGTATGCTGGAGATGACTATAATTTAGTTTCTTTAAAAAAAATGGAATATCTTGGACTACCTTATCGCATCTGATTGCAATTTATCCACTTCATTTTAGGATGCCCATGATGCCATCCTGGAACGCCTCAGAGAAGAGAAACTCAGCAAAATAGCTCTGGTGATCCAGAGGGTCATGATGGGACACAAAGACAGGTGCAGCTTCTAAGAAAAGTACAAAGAGGAAATCCCCAAAAGATGTGTCCTATACTGCAGCTACAGATAATGTTTATGTAGTGTTGATATACATGCTGCCATATAAGATAAGATTAACCTTTTTACGTATACAGGAGTCAAAGCAGTAACATCAATGATAAAGAAACACAGGATAGGACAAATAAAAGCACATCTCCTAAGGATACAAATAATTATGAATTCAATAAATTAAAGTTTAAGTAAGAATGAAATAAAACACTGAGTAAATGGCCTTAGATATCCGGATGTAGAAGCAAACTGAATCTACTTAATATAAATATGTACAGTAAGGGTGTATTTACAAACTAATATGAATTCATATATTTATGAATATGAAAGTTTACAGGGTAAGTTTGAAAGCTTTTTCAGTTATAAGGTTGGGATCAAGCCTTAGTTGTTGAGCCTGAGGGCATACATATCAGTAAAATATCAAATAGGTAAAAAAATAATTAAGAGACAGTGGGTGATTGAGGAGTGTGTTTCTTCTTATTTTTACAGAAAGTCTTTCCTGAGGAAGCGGAGGGCAGCTGTGGTTTTGCAGAAGAACTGGAGAGCTTACAGACAGGAGAAATTGCGAAGAAAGGTCTGATGCTTCATAAGCTTTTATACAACTCAGAGCTTACAGCTGTAATAATGCTCTCTTTCTCTTTGGCGTTAGCTTTAACTTATTTCCAGTCCACTGACCTTCTCCTTTGTTTTCACTCTTGCTCCGAACAGCTCCAGCACGGCTTTGATCGTCTAAAGTCGAAGATCCGCAGTCGGAAGATGCAGCAACAGTTCCAAAGACAGCGCGAAGCAGCACTCACCATACAGAACCAGGCATGTACTGTGGAAACTGTAGATTAGCTTTATTTAGTTTCCCAGGTTGAAAGATCTTTATCTTTACACCTTTAAAGAAAGATACCGTATTTTATTTACAGAGGAATGTGAATGTATTGTCTAAAAACCCTCAAAATGTGTAATTGTCTAGATGACATATTACAGAAAATAATTACAGTAATGTAAAATACACAATTTGTATTTTTCTATCAATTATTTTAAACATAACACAAAACTAATATAGTTTAGTACTTGACAAAGTAAACACTGATCTGTTAGGCATAGAAAATTGATCAGTCATCATAAGATACACACACACACACACACACACACACACACACACACACACACACACACACACACACACACACACACACACACACACACACACACACACACCTACCCATTCTTATATTTACTTAAATATGCTGTATAATCTGTATATTATTTATATAGAAACGTTATTTAAAAATATTATACAATATTCAGATTTATATACTTTTACATATTTTTGTTCATTTTAAAGTGTATAAATGAAACATATTTAAAATATATTGCAGTGCATCAGGATTGCACTGAGATTGAGATTATTATTTTTTAAGTCTAAATTTATAAATAGGATTTGGGAATTTATTAAAATGCATTCCACATGTTTTTCAAATGAGCTTCAGAGTTTATACAAATCTTTAGTTTTTTGGGGGGGAAATGGAAATCAATTTAACTTCACTAGTATTTTATCAGTAAGTATATACATGAATGCATTGATTATTCTGAAAGGTTATTAATTATTTCTAATGACCTCTAGGTTCGAGGCTACCGGGCTAAGAAGGTCTATAAGCAGAAGAGAGAGGCCATCATTCTGCTGCAGGCTTACACGAGAGGAACCATGGCCAGAAGAGAAACTTCAAAGCTGAGGGACAATGTGAGACCTTAAAATACAAATAACATAATAAATGTCAAGATGTGGTGTGTTGTATTCTAAAACCTTCCACCCCTACCTTTCTCTCTCCTCTCTCTAACCCACCCGCCACAGGCCTCCATTTTACGTCAGCAGAAGGAGGCCCAACAGCGAATTGCTGTGGAGCTTCAGCAGCGACTGAACGTTATCGCCAAGTCGCAGCCAGCAGTTCGGGAGCCTGAGCCAATCGTAGAGCAGGATTCAGAGGAGGAATCTATTGACCTCATGCCCCCGCCTCCTGTGAAAAAGGTATCAGAGGTAAAGAAAGCAGCAGATCAAATTGAGGTGAGTTGACGTAATCTGATAATGTAACATTTGTATCATATATAATAAAATGACTGACTTAACCAATGGTTTTAATTCTATTTTTGACCAATAAGAAGAAGGAGAGGAGGGCCGTGCTAGAGTCTTTGGAGGAACCCTCTATAATCATCACTCCATCCTCCATCTCAACAACCCCCACCCCGTCTCTTGCAGAGGAAGAAGACGATGATTTTGATGACGCCAGTGAGGAGTTTTCCTTCTACAAGTTTAGCATCCTTAACTTCCAGAGCAACCACAGTCACACACACCTCAACCAGAGACTCAAGCAGCCTCTTCTGCCCCACGACGACGAGGCCGATGTGCTGGTGAGGGGCAAACTCTTAGTTTCCTGATTAATGTCAGTGTTGTCTGTCTTTACTTCCTGTCTTTGTGTTTCCCCTCCTGTGAGATGGTCTGCCCAAACTCAGGTCTAAAACCTCCAGACTCAGGGACAGTTCTATTCCAAAGGCCATAAGACTATTAAGCACCTGAACTTTTAAAAGAACATCCATAAACATTCATCTGTTTGCATCTTGCTAATTATGTATCTAATATATAATTCCATTTACTTGTATATAGATTCTTCTTGCACTCTTTCTATTTTATTTGTATTTACTTGCACATCTCAAAACATTCTCTTGCACTATTTTATCTGTTTTATTTGTTTTATGTCCTATATATATTTGTTGCACTGTTGGAGGAGCCTACGTTTGTCATTGCCATATCTACTGTACACTGTATCTAATGTGCAAATGACAATAAAGCCTTGAAACTTGAAACACCCTGATTCTGTCACCTGGGACCCTGTGTTTTGCCTGCCCTCTTCCTTTATGTGATTAAATCATTTTCTTCTGTGAGTCTTTGTCAGATCCTTGTTGGTTCTCCTTTCTGACAGTCTGTTTGGTTTAGTCTTGTCTTTCCCCGCCCCGTAAGTCTTCTTGAGTCCAGATTTCTGTTTTTTGCCCAAGTTTACTCCTAAATCCTCGTCTCATTCTTTTCCTCCAGGCTTGTCTGACTGTATGGTGGATTATACTGCGCTACATGGAGGACATACCTGAACCAAAGTCTGCGGATGCTTTTTCTCAAGCGTCTAGCACCATCAGCTCACGTGTGCTGCCTCACAAGCAGGGCAGGAGGCTGAGCAGCCTGGTTGGACTGGACCAGGTAAAACATATCAAACATTTTCTTTTTCTGTTATTAAGAGCTCCAATTTTTGGACCTTTCGGCCTCTTAGATATGGAGGTTTCCTTATTTTCTCTGTTTAATATCATATATAAGTAGATATCACCTTGGGATGGATTTTTTTCAATATTTACTTAGGTTTTATTAAAAAGACTGATCGGGGCGCCGAATAGCTCTGTTTAAAACTGGCAGCCCATATAGAGTGACCGCTGCCTAGTAAGCCGGTTCGAATCCCGAGCAGCATGAACATTACAGGCAATTTCCTCCCCTCTGTCTCCCCCTTTCATTCTATTTCTCAAATAAAGGCAGTCTCTGGCCCAAAAAACATCTTTAAAAAAAGAAGAAGAAGATTGATCAATTCAAGTTGAAGCACTGCAGTCTAATCTTCTTCATGTGTTTTTTCATAGATAATACTGAGGAAGAACAAGAAAAAGCTTGGTGGTGGAAACAGAAAAGCTTCTGTTATTATTGAGGAGGTCGGCACTTTCACCATCACTTCATCATGACTTCTGCCCGTTGTGTGTATTGTTTGCTAAATGTGTGTTTTTGTTGTCATCCTTATCAGCCAGAAGACACTGAGGACGAGGACATTTTGATCGGAGAGGGTCCGACACTGGACCGGCCACTAACATCCATGGAAAAACTCAACATTATCATCGGATACGCTCTATCGAGAAGAGACATCAGGTAAAGATTGGATATTTGCAAATATAACATCTTTAAATAATGTTGATAATGATAACATAATGATACATTGTGCAGCCTTACAATATAATCCTATACCATCCTCGTTTTTTAAGCGATTCAGTTCTTTTTCTGTAGCCGTCTTGTTTGTTGCTTCATGTATCTTTACATCTTTACGTAGAATCTTTATGTAACTATGTGCAACAATAATTACATTTTACTACTGTTATATATCACACTTCATGCTACACATGTTTTATTTCATAAATACTGCTACTTACCTTAGCTGAATTTGTACTTCTTTCAAATTCTATGAATGTGTATCTTAAATGTCTTTTTATATAATATTGTTCTATCTTCTTCGTGTCTAGCTGTACTTTGCTGTAACAACGTAAATGTCTCCTTTGTGGGACACATACAGGAATTCTGATTGTGATTCTGATTGGGATGTTGCTCTGTCTGAGTAGGGATGAGATTTACTGCCAGATCTGTAAGCAGCTGGTGAACAACAGGAACAGGAAGAGCCGTATGCATGGCTGGACCCTTCTTTCCATCTGCCTTGGTATCTTCCCCCCATCAGAGCTCTTCATAAAGGTCAGTCATTATCGCAGCTTCCTGTTTATTTTGTGTGTTGTCATGCCTCTTGTTTTAAAGCATATTCCTCCTCTCTGCTTTTATCACCAATATGTGTTAAGGGATGAAAAACAATAACAGATACAGTTCTTAGAAATTCAGGCCCGCCCCGCTATGTTGATACGGGCAAAGCATTGAGATAAGATGAGATCAAAGCACTTGATTAACATTGTAAAACACACTGCTGGCACACTGCCCCCCGGGCGCCGTTCAAAATGGCAGCACACTGCTCCTAACACTAGGATGGGTCAAATGCAGAGAAACAATTTCCCCACGAGGGATTAATAAAAGTCCATCCATCCATCATCCATCCATCTTAAAGAGTTAATTACTGAAAGTTACTGAGTTAAATATGGTGAACTCCTTTACTCATGGTTTATCCTTGTTGTCTTCTACAACCTGAACACATTTAACACAATGGTCAAATGTCCTTGGTTACGGTCAAGGTTGAATATTTTATTTCCATTTCTACCATCTAAATAAATGTTATTATATCCGATATAATAAGTAAACGTTTCTGTTTAATCAAGTTTCCTTTTAAAAGTTGACATCATCACTGTGATCATTACAGGGTTTTTCTTTCTACTCCTAGTTACGTTTTACAGCATTTCCAATATCCCAAGAAACCCACAATCTCTTATTCATGTTATTACATTTTTAACATTGATATAAATCTGTTCTCTTCTTCTCTGTTCCATAGTATTTGGAGAGTTTCATCCTCAGAGGGCCAAATGACTACAAAGAATACTGTGCTAAGCGCCTGCAGCGTATCATAGCCAACGGAGAAAGAAAAGAGTTGCCCTGTGTGATAGAGCAACAGGTAGAAACACTGAATCACCTTTGTGTCTTGTTGTTAGACCTTTTGAGCAGCACACCTCACATCAATCCGCTTTGCAGTACTGAATTATGTGATTATTTTCTATATCTATTATCATGATTCTTCTCCTTACTGATAGTCTGCGAAGTCCAAGGAGCCCATTGAGGTGTCTGTGACTCTGCTGGACGACAGCACCGTCAGTCTTCAGCTGGACTCCATCTCCACGTCTGCAGAGGTCTGTCAAGCTGTGGCCAACAAGATTGATCTCCGGGACACATACGGATTCTCCCTGTACATCACTCTCTTTGAAAAGGTGGGCTTTACTTTGTTGTCTCTTGTATCGTCATATCCACTCTGACCTTCCTGGGCCTGTCATGGTGGTAAATGATTTTGGTGTAGCATATATTGTCCCAGACATAATTCCACATGGACCTTTTATGCCGTTAATGTGTGATAAAATAAGAGCATAATATTGCAAGTACACCCCCTTCAAAGAGCAATTGAACTTGTATTTGTATGAATATATAAACATTGGGATTGGAATGTGAAAGAAATCCTCTTAACTAATAAAAGTAATTAAAAAAAAACACAGGAGTAAATCAAAATGGACTCTCTGGCTTTGTTTACAAATATGAGCAATGTCCGTACAATGCCATAGACTTACAGTATAATAGTAGGGCGTACCATAATGTTCATTTTGGCATCATGTTGCCTATAATGTTTGTGACAAGTAAACAAACATGCATGTAAACACAACTGGTCATTTTCTTAGGTCACTAAAAACGATTGAGCTCATGTCCATATGTTAACTCCCCAATGCAAAACTGGTTAAGGTCATTTTTTCGACATAAAGTCAATAGCGTAAAAGGGATCAAGGTCATGTCTGTATTTACTACGAGAAGTTAATATCGGTAAAATGAGCACCGTCATGTTCGCATTTACCCCGATAATTGGCTAGCTTAAAAAAAACATGGTCATGTCTATATTATAAAATATGTAAATGACAATGACAATATATCACACAATAAATCAATACCGTAAAAAGTATTGGTATCATGTCCATATTATCTACGTTAAGTTAGTAACATAGAAATGTTCATGTCGGTATTGTCTGGTATTTGGATGACATGAAAATAATCGAGGTTATATTGTAGGATAAGTCGATAAGGTGAAAATCGTTGCTGTCATGTCCATGATCATACAACGATTTAAACCATTTTTAAATGATTGAGGTCATGTCCATATGGTGTGCGATAAGTTGAAAACCTTTTTGATATTCTTCGTCTCCAGATGTGGTCTCTGGGCAGCTGTGGGAATCACGTGTTTGACGCAGTTTCCCAGTGCGAGCAGGAGATGAGGAGGCAGGGCAAGCCGGAGAAGGACGCTCTCTGGATGCTGTCCATCCGGAAGGAACTGTTCACACCCTGGCATGACTGCTCAGAAGACCCGGTCAGCTCGGATCTGATCTACAGACAAGTTATCAAGGGCATCAAGATAGGAGATTACATGAGTGATAAGGTGAGGCTCGGGACCCAGAGGACTTTACTTTAAGATTCTGATCATAACTTGACTCCTGATGTGACGCTTAAAGAAGCTCAAATATTTCTGTGGATTTTGTCTTTCATAGATGGTTATTTAATATTTAGGAAAGCACAAAACAAGTAGTCCTCTCTAATCCAAATGATCACCCGACGCTGCAGCTCCCCTCAGTTCTTCAGAGCCTTTTTAGAGCGTCTTTTAGCAAATATTACCGTTTTGATTTACTCTCACTGACTGTTCTAATCTTTGTTGTGTCCAGCAGTAACAGGTAGCCAACTGAGAGCTACCTGCTAAGCACCAAACGCCATCAATTAGCCACTAGCTGGTGAACATAATGGAGTATTTAGAAACTAAAAGGCCAAACATTTCCCTTAGGAGTTGCTGGAGACCAAAACAAAGCTCAAAGGAGAAGGAATACATTTGTGCTGGTGCCCTGAAACACGACTCAAAAAGAATGCTAATGTTGCTACTTGTTTGTTGAATATGTAAATAAGCAACAGTTTGCTAACATGGTGTTGACAACATTTTGAATAAAAATAACTAATACAAATGTGTGTGCATCTCTCAGGACGATGAATACATCCAGATGGCCGCACAGCACTATTACATCAAGTTTGGCTCTGCATACAGCAGAGAAAATGTCCAAGAGGTGGTTGGGGAATGCATCACAACCACACTCATTGAGAGCAAATCTATGTCAAAGTGGATCCAACTCATCAGTGCAGTCATCCTGCAGGTAATGTGCACACAGTCACACAAATGGAGTTATATAATTAACAGGACTAGAGCCTGATACAAATCTGCATGTGCACTTTTCTAAATGATAGCTTTTTTTGTATTATCTATGAGACGATCCAGGTAACTGTTCATTCTTATTCATACTGATCACACAGGGTCCTTATGCCAAGGGGAAGCTGAAAACAGACATCGTAAAAGGAGATCTGGTCAAGAACGCCCAACGTGCATGGCCCCTGCACTTCTCCAAGTTCTTTGAAGTTATAATGATGTCAGGTCAGTCAACATACAGACCGTCAATGAAGTTCTGTAAATAAAAAAATCCCATAAACAATTAATCATCTCAGGAGTTAACACATTCACTATATCATACATTTAAAAAACGGACATATTGAAATAAATGATTAGTTGCGACCCTACTTGACTGTATTTGTATATACTTTTAACATTATTGATATAATTCCAAACCATCTTAATGCTTTGGATTTGTTTATTTAAAACAAGAATCAAGGAAAAAAAAAAAGGTAAAACATTTTTTGATACTGCAACTGAGTTTATTCCGAAAGGTGGTGACCATTTAATGTGCCTGATTAGTGAAATCATCTCGCCTATATCCCAGTAAATTACTCATTGTGCATGCCCACCATTTGTATTCCCCCATCCGTCCACAGGGCCTCCTTTGCCTAAAAGCAGGTTTGTTGTGGCTGTAAACTGGAGCGGCATCTTCTTCATGGACGGAAGAGACAAAAGACTCCTTGAGCTTCCTTACCTCGAGGTAAAGGAAGTGCACGTTATCAGGTATGGACAACTTTTTGGTTCTGCATACATCATTTGGTTTTATGTACTCCCTTGCACACCAATTTCATTGAAACATTGAAAAAGTATCAAAGTAATTTAACTTGTTGTATCATTTCAGTGAAAGCCATTTAAATACTCGGTCAGTGAGTTTGGCCACAATCAGAGGAGAGTTCGTCCTGAAGTCTGGGGAATGCGCAGAAATGGCCGCACTCATCGAGAAACACCTGGTGGGGCTGAAGCAGCGCTCTGTGTATGCCCTGGTTAGGCAGGATGTTAACAAACCAGGTAAGAGTCTAGGCATGTATCTTATACGATAGTAAGATCAAACACAAATTGACATATGCAGTCTATTTTATCCAACACAGAAACATTACATGCTTCTCTTTTATCACATGTTCTACAGATGACCCCATGTTCCTGGTTTGTAAACGAGGAGACCTGCTGCTGGCAGAGAAAGACGAAAAAGATTCACCCGAAAGGAACTGGTTCAAAGCGACTAACCAGCGGACGGACGCCAGCGGAGCGGTCTACAGGGACAGAGTGATGTTCCTGCCCACTCTAGACAAGCCCACTGACGAAATGCTGGTAGAGTTCCCTTCACCTTTTTATACTTTTTAGTTATTTTTCTATTGCATGGCTAATACATTTCAGCAGAACCCTAAACAGAACGTCTATTCAAAAGGGACATCAAAAGAGAGTGAAAGTAAACAGGGTGAAATCAGAATAAATAAATATGTTAGGTATTTCATATGTTCATGTGACCGTTATATTAATATAGCCTATAAATACAACATGGAGACTGTGGTTGGTTGGCTCAAAGCTATCTTCTGATCTTTTGAAGCTTACAGAAACAAAAAGTGAACATCAAAATATTATCATTTTTTAACCTTCATCTATGCTATGTTAAAAATGTCACACATTTTTTAGGTAAGGGAAACATTTGAGTAAATCGTATTGCAAGTAACACATTTCTATGGAGTATGCGTATTATAAAAGTGTTGGAGATATTCAGATGTAAACAATGTGAAAACGGCTACATGTTTAAATAAGATGTGAAAGTCTGTGAGCAGGGATAGAAGCTGGCTAACATCCTTTTAACATGTTGATATCATTTATTAAATATTTAAAACATTTCCATTGCTAGTAGGTTCATACTGTTATCATGGATAGCCATTAGTACAATTAACTACTAGTGATAAATCACTCAAAAATGTTGCAGTTTTGAAAATGGGCAGACTTTTTTTTATTCGTGCCTCTGGTTCTTAAATTCACCTTGTATGCCAAGTAGCCCCAGTCTCCACTAACATTTGTATTAGTATTTATGCAATAACACTATTTGTAGTCTGCATCAGCAGTCATTAGGTTAAATATATTGAATAGTCAGTTTTCAGCCAAATGGATGCAGTCCCTCCCAGATCAGCTGAGATCTGCCCCTTCCACCGAAGTCTTCAAACCCGGCCTTAAGACCCTCTTCTTTCGGCAGGCCTTCCAATAAACTTTGAGCATGGTATACCTGGAGTTTTGCCATTTTCTCCGACTTTTATTTATTAATTTTTTTAATTATTATTATTAGTTTAATCTCTCAAATTGTATCAGTGTCCTTTGTTGTGAAGCGCTTCGAGATTTGTCTTGGCAGATAAGAAGCGCTATATAAATTACATGTATTATTATTAGTAGTATATCCCTGACGGTTCACATGAACCCCCTCTTGTGGTGTAACTGATGAACTGCGTCTGGCCCCTCAGGAACTTCTCACTCCAGGCCAGAATAAGACGGCAGCAAAAAACGCCCCTGAGAGGGAAGTGACCTTGGCTCCTGTTTCCTTAAAAGAGTTTGCGATCGACAACTTCAGGTATCGATATTAGTCTCTTTGTTTATCATCATCACAACTTAAAAAACAGGATTCCCCCCCCCCCTGATGTGCTCACACTGTGTCCTCCCTGTCGCAGGCCTGCGGTGCGGCTGGGTGCGTCTAAAGCGGCCGTCAGGGAGAAGCTGTGGGCTTGTTCCAGGGAGCCCCTCAAACAGCCACTGATGAAGCACCTGGTGGGGGACTCTGACCTCAGCAGCCTGGCCTGCAACGCCTACACTGATATCCTTTAAGTGATGGACATGAGGGCAAGTAACGTGTGTGACAGTAGAGAATGTTTAAATGCTTTACTGCGTGAAACCTGGTTCAGGAGATGTTCCAAAATGTAATTTGTTCTCTAGTAACATGAGTTTTCGGTGGAGAAAAATGGCTATAAATTTAAATGTCTAATAATAATGTTATTTTGGTAACATTGTCTATGACAGCCATGCCTATAATGCCTTATAATCATCCTAGTAATGAGTTATGATCTTCTTAAGGTTTTAATTATAGATACAAGCACTAGTACATAGTCAAAATGCATTATAATAACAAATACATATAAAATAATGAATATAAAGCATTTTACAAGGACTTAAATGGTCAAGTATCATAATACTTAATAATTGCTGTTCACTGACTGACATTTGTTTTTTGCAAGGGAACAAATATATAATTAAGTCTATGCCACAAGAATTCTGAACCAAATGTAAATGTATTTATTTATTAACAGGTCCCAACATTAATTGTGTAGTCTAACAACATCATTATGAAGAACAACTGAATTATGGACATTTATATTTCACTAAGCCCCAAAAAGGCTTTTATTGTTATAAAGCATTATGAATATTTACGAGTGCTTATACCTGTAATTATGCACTGCTATTAGCAGATGATAATGCGTAAGAACTATTGTTCTAATGCATTATAGATATGGGCGTCAACAAAAAGTGTTACCATTAATTGTATTGTTCGTTTCACACAATTAACTGTGGGTAATCTGTAACTTTAAAAAAATATATATATTATAATAATACACTTTATTTAGATAGCAGCTTTTAAACTAAATTACAAAGTGTTTTTTTTATAAAAACTAAAACTTTTACAAACAGAAAATAAAATAAACCTAAAAACACCAGCTTAACATATTGTAAAACAGAGACAGCAAAACTGATGGAAAGTAATCAAACAAATGATAAAAAAGCCATTCTTGAAAAAAGGTTTTTGAAAGTCCCCTCTGTTTAGAACACAAGGATTGTTTAGTTTCTTCATCGTCCGTGTGAATCCTTAACATATGCCGGCACCTATCCTGAAGTACATGGGCGACTACCCCATCAAACATGCCCGCAGCCCCATGGAGCTGACGGACCAGATCTTCGGTCCAGCCACGCAGTACGAGGCTCTGCAGGACGAGATCTACTGCCAGATCATGAGACAGATGACCAACAACAACAACAGGTGCTGCCTCAGTGTGTTCTTCTGTGTGATAAAGCCTTCACGATCCAGAGCCAACATATCCAATCCGTTTTCCTTTTTCTCACTCTCAGGCTGAGTATGGAGCGTGGGTGGCAGCTCATGTGGCTGTGTTCAGGCCTGTTCGTGCCCAATAGGAATTTATTGGGATACACTAGGCGCTTCCTGGAGTCGCGGTGCAGAGAACAGCTGGCTCCGGACTGCCTGCAGAGGCTGAACGGGATGTGCAGGTCAGACAGACGGATGGACATGTATAAAGTGCTTGCTACTGGTAGTTTATTAATGTACTGTGCTGTGGAAATAAGGCATTTGGGCCACCGTATAGAAGCACAGCTGCTTGCCCGTGTGCTGGGGTGCAGCTGTAAAGGACTGGGGTTCGAATCCCACCTGGGACCATTTACTCCTTTTTACCCCTTTCAACTCTATCTCTACAATAAAGATGCAATAAAAGAAGGCACTTATTGCACAGCAAAAAAAGATGCAAAACAACAAACTGAATGTTATATTCTACAAATTCAAATTTTACAGAAAATTATTTATTTGTAAGTTGCAAGTTTTTCAATATTAACAGTCATTTTGTTACGTGTCTTTTTCCCTTAGTGAATTTCAATGACATGTATTTTGTATTAAATAAGTAACGCTGTTGCATGAAATGAAAAGAAAATGACACGAAACGAGAGAGAGAGACATCCTATACAAAGTTGATCAATTTACTTAACTACAGAAACATGCCAAGGGACATCATTTCTGCACGGCAACAATATACAAAGCAACAGAATAACTGTCATATTTCTAAGCTAGTTACTACTCAAGCAGGTTCTGTAACAGAACAATGGTTTTATAGTAAATGCAATATAATTAAGCTATGTTTCATTCTTGCTATGTATATTTGTGAGTGAACAACATAACCCTAACCTAATGACTTCTGCTCTTAGTAAGGAGCCCAGGAACCTTCCTCCCCATCATATAGAAGTGGAAGCCATCCAACAGAACAGCACCCAGATCTTCCATAAAATCCACTTCCCAAATGAAACCAGTGATGTAAGACACATGTTCATGATATAAATCAGCTTAATGGAGGAAAGCTTAAACTTTCCTTTATTTCTGTCAGTTTGTGGATTCCATGACCCTTGTTCGTGTCGAAATTAGGTTTAAAAATGACTTCCAGATACATTTAAATATACACGAGACAGCCCATTTTGGTTATCAGCTAACGTTTCTAAACTCACTTTCATAATGTTTGCAGATCTTTGAGGTGCGGTCGACGACAACAATTGAAGACCTGTGCCGTAGCATCACCTATCAGCTCAAACTGACCTCAGTCGACGGATACGGCCTGAGCCTGAAGACTACAAACAAGGTGAGCTTGGGTCGTACTAGATTCATGATTTTTAAGTAGGGCTGTTTCAAAAGGTTCTATAGTAATATTATTAGCATAGCCCAATTTGTAGAGTAACTTTTCAGTGTTGGCCACGTAGGGTTGTTTTAGTTCTCATGCAATCATTTTCTAAAAATCACAACATGTCCTGCTTCAGTTCATAGTTGTTGGCAGTGAGGCTTTCAAAAACAACCTTTTCATTACTTTTGTAAACAATTTGCTACTCCACTTTCCACAATCATGGCACATTGCCGATTTATATTCATTAAAGACATTTGATTTAATACTTTTTTTAAATGTAATCACTTCAAATTCAGGATTTAGTTGGAGGATGTATTTTTATTTCTTAATGATGACATGATGTCATTTGTTACAAACCGCCAGTTTTAAGATGACGTAAAAGCTTCAAAATGAACAATTAACTTACGTAACGTGAGCATCTCTTAAGCTTTCTGTAAAAAAAACAACCTTATTTCAGGCATCTTACTAAAAACATGTAAAAAAAACATTAACTAAAAGGGAACAGGAAGTTATTAAATGCTAACTAATTGCTGTGTTTTAGGACTGTTTGGTCTGCATTCATAGTATGATCAATGTTGATGTTCAAATGTTGTGTTAATGACGTAATACATTTTAATCTCTTCGTTGAATGCAAAATCCTCTTCTCAAATACTGACGTTGGTTCTTCCCTATTCAACATACTTATCCTATTCTGTTTTGAAATCTTAGATGGTCAACCTGCAGGACCAGAAATACTTATTTGACAGCTTAAGGCAGACTGCAGAGCCTTCTAAGAAAGGAAAAAGAGTGAAAGAAGGTAACACTTCATACCGACACCTTCACGTTTTACAGTCAGTCATTTTCCTTATTTATAATTGGGGTTTTGTGTTCCAGTAAACCAAGCCAACATGCCCTACCTGGTGATCTTCAAGAGGAAGCTGTGGTTCAACGTGAGCCCGGGGAAAGACCTGGTGGCAGACCTCATGTTCCATTACCCACAGGTATCCAACCAAAATACTCATTACATTACAATACATTACAGATCATTTAGCTCACTCTTTTATCCAAAGTGTCTTACAATAAGCACATTCAACCATGAAGATAGATACTCAAATAGCAGAAATTCTGTTATTAGCTCTCAAAGTCCTCAACAGTAATATTTCTGCCATCCTGATATCAATATGTAGCTCTTCTTGTGCTGACTCTTCCTCTCAGAGTTGCCAGGTCACATTACCTTTGTATTACCCCCCATATAGGAGCTGCCGAGGTACCTGCGTGGATACCACAACTGCACCAAAGAGAACATGACTAACATCGGCGGCCTGCTCTTCAGAGCCGAAGTGGATTCAGACCGGTCGCAGTTTGTCATGATCCCCAGAATGCTGAGGGAGCTGGTTCCTGCGGACCAGATCGATCTCATGTCTCCTGAGGAATGGAAAAAGGTAAACCAAAGAATGAACAGAGGCAGGGCGGACACTTAAGACACATTAATACCTCATCTAAAAAAGATGTTTTGGAGATGTACCATGAGAGAAGTGGATTTTACACGACTGTGAGGGATATCCATTGAGTTTTTGCTCTTTATTATTTGCACATTCATTATTTTCACTGTTTACCAATACATGTAGTGTCCAGAATTCAGATTCTAGCTCAGGGGTGTCCAAACCTTTTTCACCGAGGGCCACATGCAGAAAAATATACGAAGGACTGGGCCACTTGCTAGAAGTGAGGTATATTGCCTCATAAGTTAAGTTATAAGTTAGCAAAATCAATCAATTGTAGTTAAATGATGCTTGAAACTTGAATATGCTTTTAGAAAAAACAGCTCTCCAGAGGGTTTCATTTATTGTGTTCCTTAAAACAGGAGCCTCAGATTGATTATAATAAGAGGAAATAGGAAGGGTTTATTTCAAGCGTGTTATGCAAATAAGTTATTAGGCTTTTTTTTATCAACTAAGATTTGTTAGAGAATGTTTTCTACTTTAGAATTTATTTGGAAAGTGGGTTTATTAACACATGAATACTAGGTAATATATTTTTACATATATATTTAAGAAGTACAATAAGACAAGCAAAATGTTCATTTGTGGGCCGTATTTCATTGTACTTTTTTTAATTAGCTGAGGGCCTACGGGCCGCATTTGGCCCCCGGGCCGTAGTTTGGACACCCCTGTTCTAGCTTATCCTTGTATTTGTGACGAGGACACTACATTTAACCAGGGCATGGGCCATATAAAGAAAAGAAAATATCCCGATCTTTCAGATATGTATGAATACCTCAATATCCACGTTGCAAGGATATTTTAGAGGTTTTCAAAGTGACATTTGATAAATAATCCCTTGTTATGTGGATTTCACAGCTAAGTATGGAACAACCTCGAAAAGTTCACAAAACAATATCTATAAAATGTAATACTGCCGTTAAAACCAGGAACATACACTTTTGCAATATTACATATCAGGAAATCTTAAAAGATCTCTAGTCTCATATCACAATATAGACTTAATATAGATTTGGTGCCAGCCTGACATGTATCGTCCCCCCTAGAACTGGTGTCCGTCATGTTGTCACATCAAGTTAACATTACATTCCAGACATTACAACCCCATCCATCTGAGGGAACACTGTTGAAATGGGGAGCTGTTTTAAATGGCAAGGAATAAATAAATATCAATACTTCACTTTGCATGGAGACCAGATCACGTTATTTCTTAGGAAGAAAAGCTATGCAGAGATTACACCTGATCAGTAAAACATTTTTCAACACAGAAACTGTCAGGAGTGGTACACTTCGACAGTAACATAATAGTGAAACCAAATATGCTCCTTTGTGACAGGCATGCAATGGAAACCAAAAGGAAAGCTCTTGATATAACAAGACAATTGTACCCATAATTTGGATTGCTCCGCTATCTATATATTATCTTCTTCTAAGTGCAGTTAGATAAACACATAATACTAAGCTGAATTTGACTAATTCCTTTTGTCTTTTTGTGTAATTCCTGATCATTGTGTTGGAGCTAAAGAAATGTTTTCACATCATAAATAATAAATATTCTATCCTAACCTAATGTAACCTGTATTTGCAGCACATAATCCAGGCCTACAGCAAGCAGAGCGGCATCACGGTGCAGGAGGCTAAGATCGAGTTTCTGAAAGCCATTTGCAGCTGGCCAACATTCGGCTGTGCCTTCTTCGAAGTGAAAGTGAGCCACCAGGATAGATTGTCATGAAATCAGCATTCAGCAATTTGTGGAACACTGTTTTGACATATTATGATTTCCTTTGACTTCGCAGCAAACATGTGAATCAAGCTACCCAAATATAGTTTTGATCGCCATCAGCAAGCTTGGTATCAGCTTAATAGACCCACAAACGAAGGTAAGCCTAATGATGGTTATTAATACATATGTGTTTCCTTTCCTTTTCATGTTTGATTGCACTGACACTTTTTATGTGAGTTTTGACATTTCTAGCTAACTGTTTGGTCTTTATTGGTCACAAACGTGATGTAGAAGAAGTACCGAGATCTTTTTCTTAAGTAAAAGTAATAATACCACAGTGTGGAATACTTGAATACAAGTAAGTCTGGCATTTAAAATGTTACTTAAGTAAAAGTACGAAAGTATAGTAGCATCAAAACATCCTCAAAGTACCAACAATAAAAGTACTTATTACGTAGAGAGGCCATTTTTTGAATAATATATATTGTATGACTGGTTTAATTATACATTTATGGAAACTATTTTAATTTTGCAAATGGTGGAGATGCTTTGAATGACTTGTTATACTCCCAGGTATCTTAATTCATAATAGCATGTCATAATTCATTAGCGATTTACACCGAACAATGTCATCCCCTCTATCTCCCCCTTTCAACTCTGCATCTCAAATAAAGGCACTCTCTGGCCCAAAACATATCTTTTGATCAATATTTTGAAGTTGAATGTCAGTATAAAGTAGCATCAAATGGAAATACTAGCCAAATGTTTCTCGAAGATGTACTTAAACTATCTCATGTTAATGTCAATCCCCTTCAGGAGGTGCTGGTCATGCATCCGTTCAGCCGCATCAAAGAGTACCAAAGTGAGGGGAACTACTTTGAGATGTCCATCGGCACGCTGTTGAGGGCCGTCGTCTTCGTCTGTGAAACCACACAGGTGAGCAACTGCCTTTTTAATGTAATTTTACAATGTCTATATACGGCAATCATCACATTATTATATTATCATGAGAAACCATTTTTCAATCAAAGTATTCTGACCTTTTTCCTTTTTTTTTAGGCCAACACAATGGAGGACCTTCTCAGATCGTACGTCACCATGTATGAGAGGCAGAGGACGGCCTTACGACCCAAACACAACATTTTCTCTTGAGGGCAAAAGAAAAGCCTCATGTGCATTCTTGATCAATACAATTAAATACAACCAGAAATAGGGTTCATGTTCATTTACTGGTATTGACCTGTGATGCCTACATTTAGTCATTTATCCTAAGACATTGCACAGTGATTTATTAATAAAGTTTGCAGTTACAGAGAAGCAAAGCAAAAAACTGTTTCGTGCTCCTCCAGTTTGCCAGTAGATTAAGCCCTTGTTTTGCCATAATTTGACATGTAATGGTACTGAATTACCTCTGACTTCACTAATACTGGTTTGTAATAAAGTTTAATCACTTTCATGATAATTTTTTTTTTCATGGCATAGGATAATAAATATACAAAAAAAGAGAGGAATTTTTCTGTAACTAATCCCACAGTGCATTTTCCCTCTAGCTTGGTGAACTTGTAATAAATACTTTACACTCAATTCAAACTATGTTAGCTATTTAAGTTAAATTATGTTATTGTTAGGATGGCATGGTAGTTTTGTGTTTCGCACTTTCTCCTCACAATGTTGAGGTCCTACTCTTTCTTAGAAAAAAGGTGCAGGTTTTACTTAGATTGAAAGGGGCACCGCTGCATGTGCCTTAAAATAAACGATGCAACATATTTAAAATATTTAAAATAGAAAGTTGTTGTCTTGGCTTATTGTTTTCAGGTGCTTCCTGGGCATTAACCCTGAGAAGGCCTCGAAAGCCAAGAAGAAGCGTGGCGTTATAAACCCCCATGTCAGCACATTCTTTAGAAAACTCCTTGACTTCGAGTGGATGTCTATGTAGACATGTCCAGGATTAATGTAAGACACTCAGTCAGTAGAAAGTTTCATGTGAAATGTACTTTGAATAAAAAGTTTAAATGGGTATTTTCTTTGTTTTTCTTTGTTGATTGAGCAGATTCAATTGTACAATATATTATAGTATTATTTACATTTTTATATTTATAGTAAATTACTGGCTGTGTTGCATTACTTTTACAGTAAAAGTGTGAAAGTACAGATAATTACTGTAATTGATGTACCACAGCTCTGTACAGCTATATCACAGTACTTCCATGGGCATGGCAACTATACATTACTGTGAAATCCATGCAACTAGTAGCCAGTCATTTACTGTAAATTTACAGCCAAAATGTTTACAGTGTACCACAGACTCCCCATCCCCCCGGCCTGAAACGCCACCTTGTCTGCTTCCCTAACATAGTGACATCATTATGTAACACTCACTCTTGTACGTGGGAAATTTACTGTTGACCAATCACAACAGAGTCTAAAACCTTAATATATTTAGTTTAATAGGATGTTACCAAAACAACATTTCCACATTTGCGAGCATGAAAACGGCATGTTCTGCCATTTTTGCATTAAAATTGCAAAGAATATCTAGCCTAATAAATCAGTAATAATTGTTTAAAGATAGTTGACAATTATTATGTTTTGATCGTTTATGTCCCCTAAAGCCTAACATCATTGCTACTATAATAATAGAATACAACATGTATGTTATATACACTTCATATACATATTATTTAAGGAGACTTTTGGAACATTTGGAGAATTTTGTAATTTCAGTCAAAATCATCTTTTTCCCAAAAAGTGTTTTCACCTGCAAAATTGAATAGAACAATTTCAACAAAAAACAGTGTTTTATTTTTGTCTTTAGTTTAGGAAAGTGGGTTGTTCTAAGGTTAATACGTCTGGATGCTTATTGTCACAAAAAGCTGTTTATACAGTTTTGAAATATCCTGTGTAAATGAAAACCCTTTATTCTCCTCTTGACTGTGTGTTTTTAACTGTTATTATTATTTAGCATTATTGTTAGACATCTGTCTCATACAAATTCTGTGAACAGTTTCCAAACAGTCAACATTCCCAGTTTTCCCTCAGACATTGTATGCTCCTGGAATGTCCCCACTGCTACACAACACTGTTTTCCTCATAACACAACTCACAAAAAGTACCTGTTTTTGTGTGTACAAGTAGTAGTGTAAGACAGTAGACTGCTTATACAATCCTCCTCATTGCCTGTCAAGACTATTGCTCTGTTACCATGGAAACCATGTGACCAAAAAATCAGGTTACCATGGGCAGGTGCATAAGGTGCAGTAGTATGGTTTGTGCCTCAGACTCTATCCTGATGAAATCTCACTGCAATTGGAGCAGAAGTTTGACATATGCAAAAACCCTCGAAAGTGTACTTTCTGTCTTTTTTAATATCTCACATGAATCCAGGAAATTTACTTTGAATTTTCTTTTCAATTATAAGGGGTTAAATATGTGTTTCTGTATCAGGAAAGACTTGCATTGTCTGACTTGCACTAGGAGTTACAGTTATTTCATTTTCGTGCAAAAAGTGGTGTAAGAATAAGATATAGGCCAAGAATGTTACAGGTTTAAAAATATGTGTGTGTATTTGTGTGTTTTGTGCATGCTACCCTACAAGAGAGCATTTTGATGCACTGCACCAAATTTGGAACAAAAGACCTTATAGCCCAGACCACATCACTAACCCCCCCCCCCCCCCGAACCCCCAAAAGCAACTTGTAATTCAACACTAAAATACAGCATATCAAGACCAGCCCTACTTATACATCTACTTAATTATACACACAACATCTTTGCATCTTTACCAATATTTATATATAAATGGGTACATAAAAACACCAAGATATAGATACATATCATACAATATACTGCCTATAATGTGTATGTGCACGTGCATTTGTGTGAGAAAAGTCTATAGCTATTGCCTATTATACATATAGCATTATATACAGTACATGTAATGTAATATAACCTATTGGTGTGTGTGTGTGTGTGTGTGTGTGTGTGTGTGTGTGTGTGTGTGTGTGTGTGTGTGTGTGTGTGGGTGTGTGTGTGTGTGTGTGTGTGTGTGTGTGTGTGTGTGTGTGTGTGTGTGTGGTGTGTGTGTGTGTGTGTGTGTGTGTGTGTGTGTGCGTGTGTGTGTGTGTGTGTGTGTGTGTGTGTGTGTCATTTTTCCCTATTTGCTGTCGTTCTCCACAAGCAGACAAAAACTTTCGGCCATTTTTTCGGGGTGTTTGTTGTTTTCTCCCAAACAGCAGGCTGTTCTCAGGTCGACGCTGAGAGCAGCATACCAGTCACCCTATGGCCAGTGTGCAGGAGGGTGAAATGATCCCAGATCAGTGTCTGTTCCGGTGTCATTCCATCCCCCCATCGCGGTACTAGGTGCGCGCCAGCCTCGCGATAGCCTCGCCTACTAGAATCAAAGCTCCGCTCGCGAACTGGATGCTGACAGGCGCGCGGTGCGGTCATCATGCAAAGGTTACACTGGATCCGTTTCAGCGAGTCTCTAAAGAAGCCGCTTCTCCGCAGCACAATGCGAGGCGGGTAGGAACACAAACTCACGCTCGGACTCACGTTTACTGGCCTGTTTTGGTCACAGCAGGTGTCTAACGATGGACGCAAGTTTGGGATTCCCGCAAACGGCAGTGTGTACGCTGGCTCCTCTCGGCGGTAAAGTGGCTCCATGAGTGTCCAAAGTAACAGTGGAAGTGGTGGTGGAAGTTTGGAGGCGACGCCATCTTGGTCGCAGCTCTCCTCGTCCCCAACGATTTCTCAACAACCTATAACTGCGACGGCAAAGAGCAAGGAAGGTATATTAGCTCTCCAAGTGCTCGTCTAACTCGTATTTTCCTTAAAGTGTTTGCTTTGTGGGAGAAGTGGAGTGTTTTGACCGTGTGGAGCTAACGTTTGTTGAAGTAAAAATGGATGTCAAGTTCACTGATGCCGTGAATGGGAAGCCAAACGTCAGCTGTCAGTTCAGTTGATGGCCAGTTTAAGTAGCAGCAAGCTATCATGTTTGCACAAAGGAAGTGCTAGCTTGTTTGTTTTGTCAACGTACATTATTTCTTGTTACTCGTAGCTGTTGAGGCGATCACAGTGTTGTTGTGGCAGTTTGTAACATTCGCCCCCTATCAACAGCATCTAGTTGATATTAAACAACATAGCTGTGCATGCATCCATTAATGCATTAAAATGCATGCTCCTGCTGCTGTAAACTTGAGCACAGGCCCTGCTTTTCACCTTTTTCCTGTATCTGTTTTCCTCATTGTTTTCGACATGTTCCTGAGACTTTATTTACTCGATACTGTCAAGTTGCTGGATTTAATGTGACAAAACAGTGTCACAAGTGGCAAAAATAAGTTATAACCTTACAGCTAAGTATTTTAGTTACAGCACATGCTTTTAAAAACGACAAGGAAGGTGTGTAAGATCTGCTGCATAATTACTTTACTATTACTACTGTGGTTATGTTTTTATGATTATTTCCAACCAGGGACATATTCCTAAAGATATGAAATATTGCTGTAATATGAAACTCCTGGCTCTATAGAACAATTAAGCCTAATCACTCATCCCTGTCCTGAAATAACCTCGCACAGGCCTTGTTGTGTGCTCTCTGTTTAACTTGTTCAGGGGTTTCATAATGTCCATTATGCCTTTTTAGGGCTTGCCCCTCTGCGAGAAGCTATGTAAAGATGACAGCCAGGAAATATCCAATAAGGAAACAAACACTTGCAGCAGTATTCAGCAGGGAGCAGAGGGCCTGTGTGTCTCTTCCTGGAAACCAGTTGTCCAAGAACAAGGCCCATTGCAGGGCTGCATACACTGTAACCTTTAGCTTGTATAAAACTCATTTGATCATGACACTAGTTTAGATTTACAGCGGTGTAGGAGACTGTTAAGACGATCCGTACCATACAAAGATGTTTTCTTAAGCCAGTAGATCTGTGAATAAACACTATTTAATTCAGAATGGTTTGTTAACACATATTTAGCATTTAAAAAAGACTGTCCTTCCTGCGATTTGAATACTGCCCTAGTCCATATTGCGATTAACGTCAAGCATTTGGATTAGCGGCATAAAGCCCAGATATACATTGCCCGTGCGGCTCTGAAAGCGATGTGAATTTGGAAAAAGCATCCCAGTCTTCCTTATCTCAGCTGCTCTATCTGCAGGGCTTATGAGGTTTTGGGATCCCTAAATATCACAGACTAGTTTAGCACAGTGCAATGAGGCCATTGTGATGGCCTGAGATAATAGAGGGGCTGGTTGAAGGTTTTTTTGCTGACAAACTAATAGCATCGCTCTGCTCGGCCTCGACTTTTCTCCCTCCTCACTTCCCTGTGGCAGAATGACCTTCCCCGCTTAAGTTAGAACTGCACTGTCACTCATCCGCAGTATCTTCCACCCTAGCATGAACCCTTTACCTCTACTGCCAAGTCGATTAAATCCATATTTCTATTTTTATCCTCTAATCACTCTCAATTGTTCTCTAATCCTCCCCTAAAATACTGTCCTCTGTTCCTTCTCTTTGTGCCCATTTTAATGTATTTCTAGTCCCAGAAAAATGTCTGAATTACTCCAATTGGTTGTGCTTCTACTGTTCTTGTCACCACTGTTTGTTTGTAATGATGGTAATATGACCCCACTCTGTTGTTTCCCTTACGTCAAGCCCCAATGGAGGAGCTGCACAGCCTGGACCCCAGGAGGCAGGAGCTGCTGGAGGCCAGGTTCACAGGAGCCGTCAGTGGCAACACCGGAGGCAGCACCGGGAGCACCAGCGGGGGTGCTAAGGTAACCGCAGCATACACACACTAAAGCCTTAGGGTCTACGTCCACATATCTACGCCTTTTTTGTCAGAAAGGTGCCACCTGGGAGCTGGGGAGAGTCTCCTCCAAGAAAGCTGTTGTTTCTACGACAATGTTACTTCAACAAAGTATCATGGTTGTTGTATAACTGGCTAGCATCACCCCCTTGGAACGTATTATCTGTTTGCGTTGTCATACATTTTGAGATGAACTATTGCAACCAA